ATACCTGATGACTTCATGATGGCGTAACCAAAATTATAACATCTTCGTAACAAGGTACAAGTTCACACAAGGTTTTGTGATCATACCATGAACCGTTCGGAAGAAATGTTGCTTTGTTTTGATTTCAGGCTAACGTCTTCATTTTGAATTCATTTAAATTTGACCTTCCGGTAGACCCGGAAGTAAAGGTCAAGCGAGTTCACGTACGCGACAAAAATTTTTTAATCGATTAATGGTTACAGAATACAAACATCATTGAATGTTTAGTTCAAGAGTTATAAGTGAAAGTATTTGGACACTTTTCAGTTAAAATCACTTGTAATTTGACACCTGATGACATAATCATGACGTCAGAGTAATATGAACCACTTCGGATGGGGGTCGATATATATTGAAAGTTACAAATTCATACCATATACCGTTTAAGAGAAAACCCGCGGAAAAGTATTGTCCGGAAAAAAAAAGGGGAAAAAAGAAAGAAAGAAAGATTAATCGCAACAAATCCAAAGAGTGGTCGGGTTGTGCCCGACCACTCAACAAAGACTTGGGGCCTAACATTTTCCTTGTTATAAGCAGATTGTTGTAGTAACAGTGCTCTTCTTAATTATCAGGGTACGACTGTACACAATTATGATACCTCCTCTATTTTCCACCATGTCAAAATAACCTGAGGGCTTCTAAGAATGTCATATTTTTGTAAAATAATTTGTGTGACGCTTATTATTGGCTTCAATTGGGGTTTGCATGCACTGCATGCACACCCATACTTGTTTCACATGACTAGTGTGGACTTTCCATTGCTTTCGTGTAGTTAAGAAAAACCAGTGAAAAAACTCATTTTTCTCAAACTGTGAAAACTCTTTCAACCCAATTTTTTTTCTATGATTCCCTTTAGTGTTTCTCTTCATTCTGCTACAGATAAACCTAACCCAAAAATGCCTCTAAACCTGTTTTCCAGAAATGGGGAAACACTGTGTGGACGTGGGCAAGTCCACACAACGTCGGTGCTACCTACATTATGTGGACGTCTTTTGTTCGGAAGTCCACACTGCGTATGTAAGACAAGCTCACTTATTAAAGTCACAACAGTCATATCGTTCGCGTACACATCATCAAACTATATTTTACTCCACTACTGGCGGCGCGGCCGGCTGTGCATTACAAGGCTTCAATGTGTGTATGGGCCTACAATACATGCACTGATGAGTTTGCCATGCACACAATACCCATTCAAAGCAGTGTGATAATAATTAGAAGTCATGCACCATGTCAAAAGCATATAATTCTTTTGTGTGTGTGTGTGTGTGTGTGTACATGTTTGTTTGGCATCGGCGTATTTGACGAGCTATGTCCACCATTAATACCACGACTAGGCCCCCCCCCCCCAAAAAAAGTCTCCGGTTTCTGGTATGGAGCTTGCCCAAAAAAGTGGTGCGGCGACGCGGCTCTTTTTTTTTTAACCTGATTTTTTTGCCTCAAATGTCGGCTGATGACTGCAAATGGTGCCCGACTAAACTTAGTGCAACTTATATGAGAGTCCAGAGAGGCCACATAAAGCTCCTTCTCGATCATAACCCCATCCAAAAACACGTTAAAATTGTGCAGCAGCAGGATTCCAGTCAAACCAGTGAGTTTGGCGGTTTTGAGACATCATCTTTCATTGGAAAAAAAACTTTTTCATTTTGCCGACGCGCATGGCTACGGCGACGCGCGCGCATACCAGAAACCGGAGACTTTTTTTTTTGGCCCTATATAATATATAGTAATGCACACTAGGTTTTTGTCGATCTAGCTCTCATAACACGGCTCAATATTCAATGGATTCTATGTATTTTCTATGTCGTTTCCATGTCATTTTTGCAAATATAAATTGGAATCGGTTGTTCAAAGTTCACTGCGGGTATAACTGTAATTCAAGTCCAACATGAAAACGTAAGCTTATAGTTGTTTAATAGGTTGGATGCACTCGCAATTTAACACTGCTCGTTTTCTTAAAGATGTAGGCCCTATACTGTCCGTGCTATATTCAAGTTTCACAGTGAAAATAGATTTGTTTTATTGCTATATTTCTAGCAAAAAAATATGTGGCTTCTGAACGAACATCGACGAAAAAACGGTCCACGATGCTTATACTTTACAAGTTTCGAATTAATTACGGCCCGACAGCAATTCAGTTCTCGCAAGGTGATTATAAGTGTGATTTCCGAGGGTTGCAGACAACCAAACTACATTTTACAAAATATTTGTTTTTTCTTTTGAATGAACCACTCAAAGGTCAAGATTCGTTAAGAAGAAAGCCCATCGATTTTGTTGAAGAGAACGAACCAAGTGCAGGCTTTCCAAATAAGTGTAGCATCTATAACCATCACGACTGATGCGCATGTTTAACAGTGTTATTCATGTCGTTTTCAATGTCATTTTAATTTATTTTATTTATTTATTTATTTATTTGTTTATTCCTTTATTTATCAAGGGTAAACACAAACAGCAAAAAGCTGGTTTTCATTAGGGCCTTTCATGAATATGAATTTTACAAAATCGAAGGCTTAAAAAAGAAAAAAAGGAAAAAACACAATGAAATGATATGCACTTAACACAAAAGCAAAATCTGAGAAATATATATTTAATATATATAAAAAATTACATTGAAAGGCACAGTTATCTTTTCTTTGGGTGCGATTGTATCAGAAATATAACTTTTTTCGGAACTGAGAAATTCGGTGGCTTTTTGTTTACATTTTTTTTATCGCTGCTCCGAATCCTGTTCTGTCTGGAATTGTAATTGCATATGGTATTTTCATATGGTAATTGCACATGGTAATTAGCGCGTCCTTGAATGAATTTATCCACAATTTAAAATCTAGCGCGCATAGCAATCCTTCAGTAGTCCCGTACATGCATATATATATATATATTTTTTTTTTAAAAATATGTAGAGTAAACAAGTGGTCCACGGACCGCATGTGTCGGCTTTTTCCGCGGTCGATCCCTGTTTTGTGTTCTTAAAAAGAACAGAATGGTCTTCCCACCCAAGGGTCACTGCATTTCATCAAAAGTTTCATCAAAAACCGTGAAAGCATGTAGAAGTTATACATTTCCCCCAAAAAACTTTAACATATCGTTACACAGAATTTATGACTGCAGGGTTACTGTCTCCAAAAACTTTGTTTATGCACGGATCCTACACACAAGCGACTCAGCCAAACTCCTGGGTTACCATAGCCTTTAGTCAAGTCCCACGTGCTTACCCAGACACGTGACGCACTCCAAATGCTGACACGTAAAAAGACTAGCACGAGCGGCTTTGCCGCTCGTGCTAGTCTTTTTACGTGCCAGCATCCGGGGTGCGTGACGTGTCCGGATGGTCCGGGTATAGGCACGTGGGACTTGACTAAAGGCTAGGGTTACCATGAATACTTGTCAACAATATACCCACAGACGGCTTTTAAAACCGCTTCACTGCACACGGTGGCTATCAAATTTGTCTGGTCTAGCCTTTCACCAAGGCCATCGTGGCTTAACTTGCCCGCATGGCCTGGGCGAAAGGCTAAGTCTGGTCTCGAAGTCTGTCAAGCCAGCTAATAATATTTTTGAATATTTATGATCCTTCGTTAGTGGAATTTGTGAGTGAATTCTGATAGGGCCTAAGTGATACATAACCATATGTTAACGCCGGGCACAATATCTTTAGCTTTAAAATGAACTATGAAATGCCGCATTTTTTTTTCGGTTCGGGACCACATCGCTCTAAACCTACAAGCCTACTTAAAAACGAGATTTGGGTAAACGGTGTTCTCCTCGTAAACGGTGTCACATTATTTTGACGTTTATTTCCCGGGTAAATGCTACATCTATGTTGACGACAAAAACTGCACAAAACCATATGTTGTATCCTGAAGTATTTATTTTAAAACAATTTTGGAAGAAGTTTACCTGCCATAAGAATGGTTTTGCTTAAAGTTTTATTATTCATTTTGTTACTCTTTTTTTCCCCCATTCTTCAACAATTTTTGTTTTGAAGGAATTGTTTTATCTTAGGTTAGGCCAAAAAAAAGTCTCCGGTTTCTGGTATGCGCGCGCGTCGCCGTAGCCATGCCCGTCGGCAAAATGAAAAAAGTTTTTTTTTCAATGAAATATGATGTCTCAAAACCGCCAAACTCACTGGTTTGACTGGAATCATGCTGCTGCACAATTTTAACGTGTTTTTAGATTGGGTTATGGTCGAGAATAAGCTTAATGTGGCCTCTCTGGACTCCCATATATTTGCACTAAGTTTAGTCGGGCACCATTTGCAGTCATCAGCCGACATTTGAAGCAAACAAATCAGGTAAAAAAAAAAGAAGCCGCGTCGCCGCACCACTTTTTGGGCAAGCTCCATACCAGAAACCGGAGCCTTTTTTTTTTTGGCCTGATACCACCTGTTTTGGTTTTCGGAATCCATTTAGTGTTTTGTCAGTCCTAGTATATGTCTCTGTGGTGTTTTAGTCTTGTCCTAATCATCCTGTTTTGTGTTTTGTCTGCTGTACATGTTTAAAATAATAGTCGTTAATGTTCTTAAATTAAAAAAAAGGCGTTTTTGCACAAGCCTCAGCTTCTTGAAAGTGCCTCCCTGCCTTCATCTTGTATATATCATGTAATTATTATTTATCTATTTATTTCTATATGTATGTATCCTCCGTCTTTTTGTGACATTCATTTAGCATTACATTAAGTGTTTACATAAATGTATTATTCTTGTGTCATTATTACTGTTGAAGGTATGGAAATAAATGTTCTGTTGAATTAAATGTTCTTAGTTTTAGTTTTAGTTGTCATGCGAAAAAAAACCTGACAAAATGGCACACTTGGAAAATTCGTGATTAACATGCCAACGGATATTAATGCCCGTTATCACGCGTCTAACCAATGAAGGCAAGTCCGTTCATTGCAATTTTATGACAGGGAATAATTTAACCAGTATTTAAATAAATACGTCAATGACTACACAAGAGACAAAATAATTAGAATATACACGTGCAAGTCATTTATTTCTATCTTTAGTCGATATAATATCACAACGACGGATGAAAAAGGTTGACACAGTCTGGAAGTTTATTGTGAAGACTTTTAGGTGTTTAATGTCACTCTGAGAACAAAGCAAGAAAATCCAATCATGGAAGTATTGTAATCGCTATACACAAAAACTACACTCTTTATAAATGTACTCCAACAAATTATAATATAGGCCTATAAATATGCAATTATATATTGCTTGTTATGCCTCACTAATTGTTCAGTATATGGATATTATTATTCTTATTTGCAATACGCATAACGAGATAAGAGACAGTGGCCACCCAATGGACCGGCTCACATGGGCGTCGCCAGGATTTGTTCTAGAGGGCGCAAGCTCTCAAAATCCTTGTACTTTCTCTAGCATATTCTCAATGTATCATAGTTTTCGAGGGTGGGCGGGGACATTCCCCCCCCCCCCCCCCCCCCCCATTGACACCCCTGCGGACGCAGGTTTGATTGTAGGAACCAAACATAACCAGTTTTTTTTAATTTTAAATCTCCATATCTCCCGTGCGCCATAATCATGTTTACTTCATAACTCATGTATAGATGATGCGACTGCCAGTGTAAAACCTTTCTTTCCAAATTGACCCCTCAGCTAAGAAAGTCCTTGGTTGACGTTTATATACAAATTGTAGGTTTTTTTTGTCAATTTAAAGCAGACCTAACTCAATGTTTAAATCGTGCAAATTAATTTACTGAACTTCAACCAGAAAGAATTGAAAGACCATTAATGTGAATATAATACAAAGAAGGCTACTTGGGAACTCTGCTGCTGTAAAACTTAAAATCTTTCGAAATTATTTTTCCAGCAATGTTGACTTTTTCCCAGTCAGCAAGGAACGATTTTGTTAAGATTGTTGCAAATGCTACTGGAATCGCCGTCGGGTTTGTGTGAAACTTACTGTGCCAAGCTGCATCGGGTGCAATCGCAAAACTGTTTAAACTGTCTACGTTACATGTACGTACATAATAAGTCCATTAAAATTCTCCACTACAATTAAAAGTCTCTACTATAATTCTATATAATTACATTCCCGCATAGATTATCTTTCGATCCCACATTACAGTTTACATAAACGCAGCAACAACAAACATAAAAAGGCAACAACAAAACCCTGCAACATACCAAAGCTCACCACCTCAATAAAAAAAAAAAAGTCTTTGAACAAATTTTCAACTTACGAAATTTTCAATACAATATGTAACACTCAATATTCTTGGACAAATCAATACACGTAGTTATATTTTCACCGTTTAATTCTTTCCAAATTTTGGTCCCTTCCAAGAATATATCCTCACATCTGTGTTCTTCATCTGTGTGAAATTCATGTCAGCCCAGGCTAACCAAGGGATAATTGTCCCTACTGCTTTTTCATGTCCAAATTTGCAAGTCACTTGCACTACTAATAATTTTAAAAAGACACACGCAGCAACAATTATATCCCAACTGCTGTTTAATGTCCAATTTTGCAAGCGACCTGTACTGTTCATGCATCAGCAATCAATCCTATTTTGGGCCTACTTTTTTGACACTTTTTGGGCCTACGGTAAGTGAGACTTACGCAACACAGTAGGACCAGTCAAATTCAAGCTATATGTAATAGAACATTTTCCCCAATTAGCAGCCACCATACATTGGATAAACCATAGTTACACATTGCAACAAGAGAAACCTCTACTTATGAAAGATATATAATATACAGCAATAAAATATGTCACATAATTTGCACAAAAATAAGCCACTTATCCCTATCTTTAACAGCAAAATATAGAAACATTGTACAATGTATGTGAAATGGAACAATTCATGCTTCTTGTAAACATTTCACAGGTACACGATGCACATCAATGATAACAGTATAACATATATGGATACGACAATTTGTACTTTTTATAACTATAAAGTTTTATTTTACAACTTTCTTATCTGAAAATTTGTCGAGATTTAATGAAGGACGATTTAAAACACTTTACATTGTAGGCGTCTACATGCACATCGGTATAAATATTACACCATCAACAGACATTACAATTGATACTCAATGAATTTACCGTTGAAATCTTTTGTGATTTACTTAAAAGAAAACCACTAATTACCAAAAAATCACTCCTCAAAGTGAAGATAGGGCTGGTACCAAAAAATATTTTGAAATTATTCCGCCTGAAATGGTATTACTCAGAAGGAAACGATCATTGAAGGTAGTTTTAAAAAAATGTGCTCACGGGCAAACTTTTTTTACTGCATTAGCAAAGGAATCCAGTTACAAGACATACAAATTTATGCATATATGTATATTTTCTCAAAGTGTATAGTACTCATTGAGCTGAAATATCCACAGATTAGTTGCTATGCGCCCCACTTGCAATTTTGAGCAATTTTTTGCTTGAAGACAAAAAGCAACTGAAAGCATACTTTTGTTCGTGAAAATAAAAATGACGGTTCAACTTGAAACAAATCATGGTCCAATTCAAATTGTCTTGATCCTGCATTTGCAATCCAGATGTTAACTCCATGAAGCAATTCCCTTTAATCTATGGAGCCGAATCCCTTAAATTTCAACTTACATATAAGTTTAAGAATACCCTGGGTGGTCTTATTTTCTGTATTCACCTTTTCTTGACAAATAAATTTCCAAACACCAAACTTCTCTTGTAGCACAGTGCACCATTATCTGTTACTGCTTCAAATCCTAATCAATGTAAGTTCCATTGTACAACATCTAAGATCTTACGTAATCCATGAATGGGACTTACGGTTGTGGGTGTGACCATGCCTCCATTGTGGGGAGGGGGGAGGGTTTCAGTGGGCGGAGTTTAGCGACTGCCGCCCCCAACAAGGGACAGAATGATCAGGAAGATGTACACGATGTCTATGTACAGGTTGAGGGCGCCATAGATGTACTCCTCTTCACTCAACTGGTAGCGCTTTCCGCCGACCAGAAGCTGGGTGTCATAAGCCAGAAACTAGGAGGAAGAAGAGACAAAGGGTGCAGTAGAATTACTTGGTTACGACTTGCAATTACACTTGCATTTTTGAAAGCAGATGACACCACTTCCCTTTTGTTACTGCTGGCAACACAGTCATTAAATTTGGACACAGCAACAGCTTGGCTGAACAGTTGGTTACAATGAGTCAAGTTGAGATTATGATACCAGTTACTACTACATGTATAAGCAGAAAAAGTAGACAAACGAAGATGGTTCCATGCAGCCTACTCACAAGAGCCATACTTTCAATGTGTCTTCAAGCTGTTTCAAGCCTGTGTAGAGAAGATATCTTCCGAATGTACCAAAACTTTGATTATTCGACAGTCAACTGCATATTCAGATTGCATTTTGTTGTGTGCCGATTTCTGTGTGTACATGCTTGCTTGCTTGCAGCCGCCGTCACACGTGACGATTGGCTACCACTCTCACACATCTCTTGATCTCCTGCCTCCAAGCTGTTCTGTCCTGAGCCAGACACTTGGCATATACAAAGCTCTTTCCTGTCCAGTCTTTGATGTGTGTCCATAAATGTGCCAAAAAATCTGAGCACACCTGAGTGTTCAATCTACATGTACCTAGGGGACTATTGGTCTATATTCACAACATGTAATGCATTATGCATGACAATTTCTCTACCAAATCGGTAGATAAATGTAAAGAGAACATAAGCGTTCTCTGCGAGATAGTAAAGGTACTCGTGGCTTTGCCACTCACACTGGCCTCTTTTTGTGCGAGCATCCAGGGTGCCATGCATCCGGGTAGCCAAGCGCGCGCCTTGACTAAAGGCTGAGTGTGTGCATACACAGCAGCAATATAGCACTCAAGGGTCTTTCAAATTTCTCTATTTCACCATTAAAGGGATATGATTAAGAGAGTCACACATCCAATTCCAAGTTAAGAATTAGGTCCATGTTTTATATTGTGCCCAGTCGCACAAGCATGAGCTCCAATTGCCAGGAACTATTCCACAATGGCAAGTTGGGCACCAACAGAGGGCATCACGAGGCACAAATGTCAACTTGATCATAAATCATGAAAGAACTTACCAGGCTGAACAGCAAGGCGGCCAGCCATGCATACACAGTGTACAGGATCTGAATGACAAAGGGAAACAAAAAATAAACGAAATCAACTCACAAGTTCAGGCATACAGCATTTATTTGCTTACTTACACTGACAAAACCTTTGCTTCAAAATCAGGCTAGGACGTCACTTGGGGGGGCTTTCTCCCAACCATTACCCAGTACTATGAAATTGGACCCATAAACAGCTTAGTAGTTGGCCGTATACTTCAGAAAAAAGTTCTTGACAGCAATATATGCCTGAGGCTGGAGCTCAAGGGAACAACCAGAGTTGTAACGAGTCACTGATTTTTGTGACTCGAGTCGAGTCGAGTCATTTTAAAGAAGTGACTCGAGTCGAGTCGAGTCATTAGGTCAAGAAGGTCGAATCGAGTCGAGTCAAATATTTAGGTCGAGTCAATTCGAGTCACGAATATTTTAACACTATTTACCAAAATGTATAAAAGGAGGGCATAAATTTAGCCGGCGTTCGAATCCAAGAGGCTTTATAAGAAATCGCCCAAAGCCAATGATGAAACAACGAATTGGAAAATGTGTTAAAATCCGGTTCCTGAATAGTATTTTGTGCATTCCAGAACCATAAGGTGGGAGTCTGTGACACGTTGTATGTTTGTAAATGAACATAAAATTTGCCTTGTAAGTCTTTGCAAATACTTTTCGCAAAATTTTGCTTTTATTTTTGGGACTCGAGGCTTATTAGCATTCGCTCGAGTCGAGTCGAGTCTTTTGATGAGGGACTCAAGTCGAGTCGAGTCATTTGCTTGCAGTGACTCGAGTCGAGTCGAGTCATTTACCCATAGGGACTCAAGTCGAGTCGAGTCACCAAAAATTTTGACTCGAGTCGGACTCGAGTCGAGTCATTGACTCGAGTCATTACAACTCTGGGAACAACCAGGAACTGAGCCCAATTTCATGGACCTGCTAAGAGCAGAAATTTACTAATCGCAAAAAAAGCACTCAGCCGGCAAAACAAGGTTACCAGCCAAAATGTCAAGCAATGAATACTGCTTGTCACAGCTTCCCAGCGATTTTTCATTGGCTCAGCATACAGATTTGCTCAGCGATATTTTGTGCTTAGCAGCTCCACGAAATCGGGCCCAGTACTCACTTGGGCCAGGTGCTCATGTGGGCCCAGTGCTTATGTAGACCCAGTGCTCACTTGGGCCTCAGTTCTCATGTGGGTCCAGTACTCACTTGGGCCCAGTACTCACTTGGACCTGGTTTTCTTTTGGACCCAGAACTAACTTGGGCCTGGTACTCGCTTGAGCATGGTACTCATTTGGGCCCAGTACTCATCTTGGGCCCTGTACCCTCTTGGGCCTGGTACTCATTTGGGCGTGGTTTTCACTTGGGCCCAGATATCACTTGGGCCTGGCACTCATTTGGGCACGATACTCTCTTAGGCCCATTACTCACCTGACTGTAAGTGAAGATGGCAATGAAACCAAACAGGAAGAGAGACCAGGCAAAGATGAACAGGAATCCACCGCACGAGGTGAAGTCATACTTGGTCTGGATTGAGAAGAGCGTGATGCCAATGGTCACACCCTGGAAAAGGAACAGCACAAAAACATTGAGGTTTGAATTGAGAACAGTGTGATGCCCATGCTTACCCCCTCTGAAAGAAATGGTTTTGACTGATATCCAGAGTGGCTGCAAGCCCAGTAAAACTACGGGTGTGCATTTATGGGTAGTGCGGGAACCTGGTACCCGATTGAAAACAAAGGGTACCCGGGTACCCGTTTAAGAAACCCAACCCAACAATTCAAACCTTGGAAGTTTTCTGTTCACATTGTTCATAAACATAAATACTATGCGATAATACCTCCACATCAGTGTGTCAATGCAGCAATTCATGTAAGTACAGTGAGCTTTATAGCTTTATGGTGAAAAACTGCAGTTTCGCGAGCATCATAAGCATAAAATGTGTTTTGTTTTTCCATGTAGCCTGGTTTTCATTTTCAAAATTCCCTACAAATGACATTTGAAACCTTTTAGTTTCATTGTCTGAGAAGTTACTAAATAAGTTGTTAAGTTGGTTATGGGTTCCAGATTCCATAATCTGGAACTGGTTCCTGACACCGGCGGTCGGGTACTCTAGTACCTGGTTCCGATGCACAGCCCTATGTAAAACAGATGTACATCAAAATGCAAAGCTTTCTCTGTTTATCCTACAGCAGAAAAGAAAGGGTCAACCAGAAACTTACAGCGCAAATCGCCATGGCAATCAGAACAACCCTGCCTCCGCCATTGCCTTCGTTGTAGTAGAAACTGCAATTAAAAAATGAAAACATAATACTCTAGGAACTAATAATAATAATAATAATAACTGGATTTATAGAGCGCTAAATTGCCAAAGGATACAAGGCGCAGCCGTAGTCTAATTTGGAGAGAAAGAAGGCGCGGACTGCATTATGGCAGGCATTAAAGTCAAGGAACTTCCTGATCCGACTAAGGTTACGGATATGCCAGTTTAAGGATCGGCAGAGTTGAGTGATGCGGTTTGACATCTTCATGTATCGGTCGAAAACAACTCCTAAGTTTCTGACTGACAAGGAAGGATGAATTACACGGCCGTTGAGATCGAAGGTGATGTTTTGGAGACATTTGAAGTGAGTGGGTGAGGCTGCGATGAAAAAATTCTGTCTTGTCTGGATTCATCTTGAGTTTGTTTGTGACCAACCAGGATTGAAGTTCTCTAACACACTGAGATAAACAAAACAGACAACATTCAGCATCTCCAACTACAGGCAAGTTTGTCAAAAAAAATTGAGCAATCTTCTTAAAACTAAAAGACACTTACATGTCATGTAAAGACTTCCAGAGAAAACCCTGTTGGATCCAGAACACATTTTTCAGTGTTCTTAAAAGCTTGACGGAATTTAAAGGTACATCGGGTCATTTACATTTGTCGTAATCTCATGAAATGGACCGATTTAAGGGCTGTTAATTTATAGCCAACAGCATTCTATTCAGCTGTGCTGGAAAATATGAAAACACACTGTTCACTTTCAACCGTTAACCCTAACCCACCTCACTCCTCCAAAATCCTCCTGGCGGTTTTGGAGGATTCTAGAGGATTGAGGATGAATGGTGATTGAATCAAATGAGGATTCTGGAGGATTGAGGATGAATGGTGATTGAAGCACATGAGGATTTTGGAGGATTGAGGATGAATGGTGAATGAAGCACAAGAGGATTTTGGAGGATTGAGGATGAATGCATTTTGAGGCAGGACTGTCTGATGATTTTGAAGGATTTGGTGTTGGTTTTTATCCTTCATTTAAACACGAGTGCAAAGTTTTGGGATGAGGAGGATTTTGGAGGATTGAGGATGAATGCATTTTGAGGCAGGACTGTCTGACAATTTTGAAAAATTTAGGCGGAGTTGAAATATTTTGGAGGATTTTTGAGGATTGAGGATGGTTGTAAGCAACAAGGGCCTAGGGGGTTAGGGTTAAAGTACAGCTCATGGAATCCGTATTGCACAGAACCCATGGGTCACAGGGAGTGCCTTAGTAACGGCTCTGTCACAATTTCACAAGATGATTCACACCATTACTTACCTAAACTTACAATCAAGTTGTCTATTTCCTAATATATATTGGCAGTTTGTTTTGAGTGTTTGCAAATGATCCTATATGCCTTTATGCAAGGGACAATCAATAAGAGATGATTGAAGTGAAAGTTAAAGATGATTGCTTACCTAGAGATGGTACCAGTCATGTAGGAGAGCGCAAGAGTCTGTTGAGGCAAGACAAACGAAATAAAAATCAAACCGAGTGGAACGCCCATTTCAGATGCAATCGGGAACAACCAACTGATGTTAGGAGCAACTCAGGTTGACCCAGTAGACTTTGTTTTCCAGTTTTAATTTTGCATTGGCTAGAATTCTTGAATCTTTCCACACAACCGCAACAGTTTATCTTTCAAAATACAACTAGTTGCTCCTAAGTGCACCAAACATTGAACTGTTCATGTACTTAATTCACATCTTTTGACTACTCTGGAAAACCAGTCTAAAATGAGTGTAAGTGACAAAGCTAAGCAGCTAGATTACCAAGCATACCATGGAAGGACAGTAACCAGCTCAAGCTTTCTTAAGTCTAGTTAGCAAAATTGACTCAGTAAAATTTTGCCTTGAATGCAGGTTTGAAAGTCCCTTTTGGGAGAAACGGGTTGCCTACAAGTTGAGTTTGGGATTATCTGTAAAATGGGCTTCACTTAATGAACAGAATTAAAAGTTGGCAGAATACTACTATTATTAAAATTAAACTAGAAAGTTATATAAAACTTAAACAGCATTATAGATAACACAAAAGAACTTTGACAAGTTAAAAAAAAAAAACATGAGCAGAGTAGCTACTTGAAGCCATTATAAGATGGAATTTTTGCGTCGGGGTGATATAAATCAAATTAGGTTTTGCCCTTCACCGACGTTTTTTTAAACACCGTTAGCTCGGTGGTCGAGTGGTAAGACATCTGCACTAGAAAGCAGGAGGTCGTGGGTTCGAGTCCCACCCGAGTGATTTCTCCAACTTTCACTCGGGAGGTAACACACTGAGTATACAGTGTTTAAAAAAAGTCGGTGAAGGGCAAAACCTTACTTGAAGCCAGTTATGAAAGTCTATTTCAATAAAATGAATACAATATTTTTTTCCTTCGTAAACTTTCAATTCAAATCTGGAACCCAAGAAAAGTGGTGCTAAAAGTACTGACTAAGAAATGAAAAGAAAAAATAATTTGAAAGTCTTATCTCTTACAAAGATGACGAGAGCAATGAAGTTGTGGGGTGTCTTGCGACGGAAATCTGCACAGCACACCAGCACGATATACACGAACAGGAAGACGCCACTGTGGCAAACAATGAAAGGAAAATGCAAATTAACATAAAATAATATCACAGTAACTTTGATTGAGCAAACATCTCATTTTTCTTCCTCCTTTTTGCATTTTTGGCCAAACTTCATATTCTACATGCACCTAGGGGATTTGGTTGGCAGTGTGTCGTTGCTGCGTTTCTCCACAGAAAATGAGGAAATATTTTTAACTTTTTGGGGGGACTGTGACTGTAAGGTTTTTTGTGTCTGAATAATCATTGTGTGATTCTGACATTTCCAATACAGACCTTTTGCGTGGCAGCCATATTGGAGGAAACTGCTTTTGTTCACGTGCGATGGGCAGGAGTAGACCTTTTACGTATTTATTGTAACTGAATTACAATATCCGCCTCAAAAAGTAAAGGAAATATAACCGCTGGGATGGGTTTTGTCGATGGATCAATCTTGGCTGAATCACTGAACATTCATGTGGGGTGAGGGGTGGGTGGGACTGGGGGAGGGGATGCATGCTTCACGCAGTGCATGTAAACCAATAGACACACTGTGTGTCCATCCCATTGCAAGGGCGGATCCACGGGGGGGGGCCATGGCCCCCCCCCCCCAAAACGAAACCAATTTTTTTTTTTTTTTTTATGTGACATCGCAATAAAGGCAGGCAATGAGTACACCACCATCTTTTCCTCAAAAAAACATTGGTTAAAGTGGTCAGAAATTGCCTCAGATCGCACCACAGAGCATCTAGAATCCAAACAATTTTCGGGGCCCTTAAGCGGGCCCCGAACCCCACGCCGTAATTTTTTTGACCCACTTTTTGGGGGGACAAATTTTTTTTTTTGGCCCCCCCCCCAAAATTGTGTTCTGGATCAGCCCTTGTCCCATTGGGGTACTGGAATGTGATCACAAAGTGCCCCTACTGGTCGTGTACGGAGTCTATAGTTATGCACATCCCTTCAAGCTGAGACATCACTCGCAACGAGTCTGTTATATACTGAAAGGACTTACTATGATGCCCAATAGACGGCCTGGTTGTTTCGAACATAATACCTCACGGGCTCCCTGTTGGGAAACAAAGGCAAACCAAGGCAGTTGATTCTAAATGGCTAAACACGTTTACAGTATGTGATGAACTTTGTGGTAACAAGATTGTGAAATGAAACATCCCCTCCTGTTATTCGCACAGAAACTTAACTTATTATCTACACAGGTATTATGAAGTCAAGTCAAGTATTAAATCTTTATTATTTCCCACGGGGGTGATTTAAAAAGCTCGCATACAATAAAAACATCGAAACATTATTAAAAAAAAAAATAATAATAATAATACCACTACACTTTGTAAACTGACTAAAATTCCACTAAAAAAACAATTATATTTGAATAAAAATTCTGGGACATGTCTTGGCCTAATGACTTACACAAAGACGAAAAGGCACACAGTTCCAAAGGTGACAGCAAGCTGAGCGGTCAGAATCAGATAGACCTGGCACAAAGGAAAACAAATTTGTTTGTAAAATCAAGTCATTTTTTTGGGAAGTAATCAGAATTGGCCAGAAAGCAAACTAGTTGTGAATGTTCACTCACCTAAGTACTAAAATGGCTCGTCGTGTTTAACATAATGAGCCACGTCATATCATGTCTATGTGATTTTCCATTCGAAATTAAGATAACTGATGACGAATAGCTGTTTTTTAAACTATTAAACTCGTTACGGTCAGCGGGCATTTGCAGTGGCTGCATCTACACTGTGGAACAGGCTTCCCCCACACATCCGAGACTCACCCTCGATAAACTCATTATAAACCCAGTAAAAAACATACTTATTCACACAGCAGAGAGCGGTTTGAAACACCCGCAGAGAGTGGTTTAAAACACCCGTAGAAAGCGCTTTATAAATGTAATGTATAATTATTATTACGGGAAATTTGGCAACAGCCATTGTAAAACTGTCATCTTCTTCTTCCAAGATGTTCCTGCGCCCTGCACCATCCCTCTCATCACACTCCTCCTTTGGTCCTTCCCCCTGCTCCAATCCAGTCTCTTCATTCCCTTTTGATCTTCACCTACTGCTACACTCCTTCGGTCAGTTGCTCAAAAATTCTTGAAATCCATCTTGAGTATATTGTGCTTATGGAGAACAATTTGTTCAACAAATTCTAGACATGGCTGAAATGGCTGAGCTGCTTTGTTCACAGCTGTTAACCCCCGGCATCACTTCAATTGGGCTTAAGGTTAAGGTAAAGGTAAAGGGACGAACCTGTGTTCACAGGAACGGAGTGCTTTCGAAGCGATTGGGCCAGATTCGAGTCCACGAAATGCTGCTGTGGGGGATCGCCACACCTCCTCCACAGCGAGTCTGTTACCTTCCCAGCATTGAATAATGCCGGTACCCATTTAACACCTGGGTTGAGAGGAGTAATTGAGGTAAAGCGCCTTACTCAAGGGCACAACACGCATGGCCACGGCGGGGCTCCAACCCACAATCTCTCAATCATGAATCCTATGCTCTACAGCTAGACCACACGTACCGCTAGACCACATCGGGCTTACCTTGAGGATAAACTTGCGTCTGACAGACTTGTCGGTCAGGCCTCCTCCAGCTGTGAAGCCCTCTACATCGTCAGACGGCGAGGTCCCTGAAAAGTTGAACCATTTGCCATTTTAGTAGTGAATTCCTGTACAGTTAAAATTCCCATGTTGTCTGCTCGTATTCACTATAGCTATGTTAATAAGAGTGAATTATTGTTTAGCAATGTTGCTAACGACTGAGATGTTGCTGGTTAATGCTCCACATGGCAAACTGTTACAAAATCACATCTGATGCATGTACAGGGACAAAACACAGTGACACGTCACACACACACAAAATGCAGTCAATAAAGTATATCACATTTACACAGTGACAGCAAGCATGTGCTCTTGTACGTTATGTAACTGCTTACTTTTGAGTCTGGCAAGGGTTATTTACCCGTACTGCACCTCATACATATTCATAAAACGCCCTTTGTTCATTGGTTGAAATTCCCAATTTCCAATGTGTCAGGGAATTAAAGCCAGCTATGCTGCATGCAGGACACACATAATATTGCCCAACGGGTCGGTACAAGGGAAGCAGTACTTCAAGATTAGCTCCCAGACTCCCACCTGTGCCACAGAAGCCAATGTCAGTGAGGTTAATGATTGTACCATATACAAAAACCTTTAAGAAGTTTGTTTACTTCGAATTAAGTTAAAAATGTATGAGGTGCAAGAAAGCAAACACAACATGGTTTATTTTGAGGAAGATGTGCAACATTACTGGCCCCTCATTGTTGACCGAGTTTGACTACCTCCCAATGATGTAAATTCTATGGACTTCATCTCTCTCTTATGTACGCATGGAGGATGAGGTGGACTACTGTCTTGATGGATTTGATGAATTTTGTACATTTAAGAATTTTCTTAATTAAAACACCAAACGGATATGTTCAATGTTATGACAAAAACTGTGACAAACTACCGATTAACTGTTTTTTTTGTCATCATGTAAATCGTCGCTTCAGTGCAACAAGGTTGTAACTCCATTCTGCAACAAAGTCGTATCTCGCGAGACTACTTTCCGTACAAGCAGGTCATATCTTGACGTCCGTTAACTTTTTGTATACACCCAGGTTCTTTCAAGTGAGATACAACTTTTGACATTCTGAAACACGCGTATCTGTACGACCCATTTTAGGAGATACAACCATGTTGCACGGACATGACGAAATGAAGCAATATCAATCACATATAAAAAAAAAAAAATCAATCAAAGCACATTTTTTTAAAATATGGTCCACGTCTTGCACACACAAAAGTATTTAATGTCAAAAATATAATAAAATGACAATAATGGGGTTATGAAGATACATTTAGAGACACACATAATTGACAAAGGAGGGTCAAATCACACATGGGTATAGTGCTTACTTCCTGTGTTGGGGGACCAGGCTTCCCCCCTTGGAGTTTCAACAGACACACCTGCATGGGGACCAGTTAAAACAATCGTCAACAACAAGACTAGGCAAGTCTAGCAAAGCTGGTCCCAGAGTGCAAAATATTCTATTGAGGTGATTCAGAACGGCTATACTACACAATATCTACACAATGCGCCAGGTTTATCCCTTCATTTTGTTATGGGTCATCCCGTACGATAACACTTCGCAGCTGACAAGTAACCCAGTCTGTGAGTCCGTCAATCTGTGAGACACATGTTGGTTCAAAGAGGAGACAAGGTTTGTCCTTGATGAGGACAAGCAAAAAGTGCACTGCACTTTTATCGTTTCTCTTGAAGGGGGAGGCGAGTTGTGCTCAAAAGTGGTAGTGGATTCGCCAAAAGAAGCCAGACATTTCTTCATGACAAACTTTACTTAAAGACTGAAACGTTGTGATCATTCAGAAATGCACTATTTAGATCTAATTACCGGCAAAGAGTTATTTTACACAACATTTTCTGAACTTGTACATATACTGATTGTTGTTTCCAACTACAGTCTATGATGCTAGTCTATGAATGTGTAATACATGTATAAGAAATTTTTTTTGGTAAGGCAGCAGCACGCTAAATGCTCCAATCTATAACAAATTAGCTCGAGTTGTCTACTGACACTCATTCAAATGGGCCATGTTTTGTCGACCGTAAACTTGAAAAATGGACTCTCCATGGCAAACTCTTGGTGGTGCACTGCATTTTGAATCGCCTGAATTCAACTCGATAATTGAGACAAGAGTGTGAAATGCTTAACTCTTTCGCTACTGAATTTAATTTCTCGATTTGTTCACGTTTGTACGTAATAAATCGCTGGAAATTCCGCCGTGTGTCGATGTGGACGCCGCCATCTTTAAATGTCTCTCTGTAAACAACCTGCTCAAAATAACCTGCAGCAGACCCCGGCGAGACAGAGAGCCCTTGGCAGCGGCTCAAACTAGGGTCAGAGATTATACAATATAAATTATGTAAATAAGGCACACGTCATGGGGATACCCTTGTTTATTAACAGTGACGTCACCGAGCCGCTGCCAGCGGCTTGCCGTACGACATGTACAGTTTTTGTGCGCCGCTGTCAGCGGCTCGCCGTAGCGAAAGAGTTAATGTGGCAAATTTCTAGAGGTTTAAGCATGTTTATCCACATCAATGACGACACTCACCATAGCTAGCGGTGGTTGCTTGCGGCTGTGGCTGTGGCTGTGGCTGCGGCTGATATGCTGTGCTTGGTGGATAGGCTTCACCAGGTGGGTAAGGAGCACTGCCCTGTGGTGGGTAAGGAGCACTGCCCTGGGGTGGGTAAGCCGCTTGGGGTTGGTAGCCGTAGCCCTGGGGAGGGTACCCTGGCTGTGAGGGAGGGTAGGCTGGGTCAGTGGCGCCCACTGTGGCTTCATCGTAGGATGGAGGTGCAGAGGGGGCTGTTGGCGCTGCCATAGTGGTCGTTGTCAACAGTTATCCAATCTTAAAAGCCGAACAAATCCACAAGTTACTATTGGCATACTCTGTAATTAATGGTATGGACTCCTGACATATACATGCACATCTTCTGATCAATCTAGGCCTACTGAACCACTCAAATAGAGGGTTTTTCCGAATGTTAAATTTGAATGCATTTGTACACCGACGACACCTGATGTTCATGCGTGAAGATGATATGGCTTAGCATTGTCAGTTTGTGCAAATTCAGGATTAGCCTAGTAAATAAATAGTAGGAACCAGTACAGTACGCACGCACACACGGTGTCCTGCCCAAACTCCAAAGGGTTCTCAAAAGTGGTAAAAACGTGCCCTCTTTTGTTGGCGCATACACACGGAGACCGTAAGGTGTTCCACGGTAATATTGCAATCTTGCCGACAGCGCGATTTTACACGCGCGCCGTTGATGAGTAGGCATCTCCAATGGAAAACTTTAGCGCTTTCAAGTCATCATGTGTTTTTTTCCAAAATGGGCCCGCGTCTAGCAACGTGTGTTCTTTTTGCCCCATGAACAATATGGCATGTATGGCGCATATTACTGTGAAACATCAAATCGACATAATCCACAGAAATGAAACGAACAACATTAACATGTCATCATTCAAAGTTAATAAAAATGAAATAGACATTGACATGACATTGACATATTAAATGACAGACAACAGACAAAAACCATGGACAGACCAACCAAGGTACCAAATAATTTAACACAATATGTTTATATTAAAAAAGTGCTCCATATTATTTTACGCTATAGTATTACTATTAGTGCTATGCAGTTACTAGATTTCAATATTTCTTCGAAGAAACCAACAAATCTACAATAAATGCGAAGAAAAATGGCGTTTAATTCACACTTACAACAACGAGCGTCTTCCGTGAAGACCATGTAAAAAATACATGCAATGCAAGTCGGAAGCCCAGATTCTGGCCGTTTTACTGTACATATAGGTTACTTCTTTTCCGTGGTGCCAGACTAAATCCCGGATGTACAACCTTGCGCGCCCAAATCGGTTTTTTTCTTTAAGGCTACAGCTTGGACTTTCATACTGACACACTATAGAACATCCATAGCCTTTGACAAAAATGCCCCGACACGGAAGTTCAATGACACGGATATTCCATGAAGGCATGACGTAATGGCAACAGTTACTGGGGAAAAAACCCGCCGCCCTCCTAACCTTCACTTCCAAATAACGATTTTAAAAATGTGATAACTTTAAAAAAAAGAAGAAGATAATTCCCCACATGATGCTGTAGGCTATTTTTAAGCTCTGGCAGCAGCAGTGATGTCACTAGATGGTCGGTCGGTCCGTCTGTCTGTCCCCGAAAATTGACTAAAAAATATGGTGTTCGTATGCCATTGGCGTCACATTTCTAAGCTCTGGGCAGGGATAATTCTGATTGATTTCAAGCAAGACTTTCATCGAAGACTTCTTGCAACACGGCCAGAGCTTATTGTGCACTCGCATCTGTATTTAGAACCCTTTTGTCGTTGAAATTTTGGTTTATTTGGATTGGTTGTACCCCCACCCTATCCTCTGTCCACAAATCCAAGCAGACTGGGAGTCATCATGGGTATTTCAAGGCTATGCATGTATTCCCAACAACAAATAAAGCTTAATACGTAAATAACAAATAACAATAAGAGACTCTCACACTATTAATGTAATATGTTGAAATCCTTTTATTTCTGTCAAGGAAAGCAACTTACTGTACAACATACAAAAATCAGATTTTAAGACAAGCTGTTCCACTAAAGATCAGAAAATGCTCAAGCTTCATTGACATCTTTAATAAGATGAATGCAAGATATTTTCACAATCGATGGTAATGATTTTCAAACGAGATCTCAAAACAACCTACCCTTCCTTGTGATACAAGTCAAGCATGAATTGGGTTTAAACGTAATTGCCAAGCAATAATTGTGCAAGACAATTAATGAATTATTAATTAACCCTACTGATCCATCCTTCAAAATCCACCAGGTTTACCAGAATTTTCGTGCTGGATGGAGTATTTTAAAGGTGCAATGTGGAACACTTACACAGCACCATTACTTTACATGGGGTTTAATAGCCTTGACATCTTTATCCTAGACGTCCTTTCTTTCCTGTAAAGTGGAGGATTTTAGAGGGGTTCTGATAGGTCCCTGGAAGGGGACGGATACAGGTTTGGATCAAGAGGAGGCTTCTCTGCCAAGAGAGGGGGCTTAGAAGGTTTTTGATGTGTTTTTCTGCATGATTTTCCTATGTTTTGCCGCCCAAGAGGCCGAGGGGGGAATGCAATCCATCTATACATGTACTATAAATGCAGTCCCAACCACAAGTCTTGGTAAAACTTGCCCGATGAGAGGTTGACTGTTAACAAGTTGATATGTAACAATTTCGGTGGGCTTTGTTACAATTATCAGAAAGCCATATTTCAGAGACCTTGGCGTAACCATGGAAATGGGAAATGAAGCAGCGTTGCTGATTCGTTCTCGATCTCGGACACGTGCCCATTGCCCAATAACCAGTATTTTACCTAAAACAGATGCAATACAGGGACATTGCCCACCTTCAACCCAGTTGGGATGCAATAAATGGATTCCGCCATGGTATAATCTTCCAGTGTCAGATGGGATGCATTACATAGCATTGCCAGTATTACATCTCTAACCAACATGTAGACACGACGCCACAGTGCATTGCCACCATCCACATTTCAAATTGGACTGGACGCATATCAGGTCACTTACAAGATCTCATTGTTTGTGTACACCTTTCTTTTGTTTGTAAACATTGAGCACCATCTTGTAGGGTCTGCCACAAAGGTATACATTTAAGCCATGGTTGGCAACAGATTTTGCCAAAAATTGCCTATTAACATCCTCATTTTGTAAGAAAGAGGATATGGTGACTTTTGTTGGTTATTTTATATTTTCAACAATCCAATGATATCTTTGGAAACATGAATAACTCTTTATTTTTGCACCGTTGGCCTTTCGCAGTTTGCAAACACATGGTTGGCAAAAATGGCCAACAAATGTCTGTAGATGGGAAATAGAAAAGCAATGTATGCATCTAATCGTCCGTCGAATGGGATGTGACACAGGGATATCAATGTTTAGTACTGTCGGTGTTGATCTTGAAGGGATGCAATACAAGGAGTTGGTCAGGCTGAGTCGGCATCTACTGGATCAGCTTGTCTTCTGATTGGCTCAGCAACGGATGATTCAAACACAACGGACCAATTGAAGACAGTCTAATAGGCTACATCGTTAATTCCTGCACAAAGAAATTAAACAGAATGGGTTAGTTTTTTTTTAATAAACCACAAAGGGAACCTGCGTAGGTGCATTATAATAATTGTTTTAAAGGGAATGTACAACATTTGCTTTTGCTTCAATTTTCAGAAATAAACGATTTGGAGGATTAATATGTTATAGAAAATATTGTTAAACTGACTTGTTTCACGTTTTGGGCTCGTAGATGCTGGAAAAACCAAGAAAACCTATCATGGTCTTGTAGTCTGGTTCCCTGACCCCACTTAAGATGAAACGGAGCAATAAATACACTTTGGGGAATTGTAAGGTCAGAGAATCAGTCTAGCAGGCTTGTACCCCTTCAGAGGTGTGTAATCAATTGCAAGAAAATCAGAATAACTAAATATGACAAATTATGAACAATTTTTGAAAAAAGCCCGTTTTCTCCAACGCTGGTCGGCCGACCAGCGTTGGAAAAATACAGGTTTTCTGGAAAATGTCAGCACACCAGAAGCCACGATTTTAAAGGATGCTTTAGACTGTCAGTCCCTAACAATTCAGTAAGGTATTTCGTGATAATTTGATCATATCGTTTTTTGATGTTTGCAAATGTTGTATTTTCCCTTTAAAGTTGAACAATGAAATTGACAGGAGCAGGGTTTGAACCCACAACCTCCTGATATTTATTCCGGTGCTCTACCAACTATAAGGAACCACCAACATAGGAACCACCAACATAGGGCTGGATAGCTCAGATGGTAGAGTACTACAATGGTGATCCAGAGGTCACAAGTTCAAACCCCACTCCAGTCAATTTCTTTGTCGAACTTTAAAACAAAATGGGTTAGTTGTAGGGTTGCCTCTCTGCTCGAGATGTTTTATATAAACCTAACTTTTGGCATTTTAAAGATGTTCACTTTTCAAAAAATTAAAGTTTAATGTTGGATGAAATGTTGAAAGATACAACACTTCTGCCAAGCTTGCTTTGTATTATTTTTACTGTCTGTGTGTTTCAAGTTCAATAATTCCTTAATAACAAAAATTCTTTCTAATGTCACAGTGCAGTACAAACATGGAATGCATCCAACATAAGCGACCAAGACAACTGCATTTACCTGGTCGCTGATTACACTGGAAAAACAAATTGGCTTGATCAGCAATCTTGTTTAAAATACAACAATACAGAAATTCACAGTGGCTTGCTAGCCTAATGAGAAGATAAGCTCAATGGGTAGATGGCTCGCAAACTTGAAACAGAGTTCCTGGCACTTAATGAAAAAACAATTCTGTGACTTTCCCTTGATGTTTCCTTGAGAAATTTCCAAAATTCCATGAGAAATATTTTCAATTTACCAAAGTTGCTGGGAAGTCAAGAGGTGGTTGCAGCAAAGCAACTAAGGTACCGGTAATATGGAAGTGTCATGGCCTAGCGGTTAAGAGCACCGGACTCATGTTCTGGTGGTTCAGAGGCAACAGTGACGCATGTTCGAGCCCGCAGGCGGACACTTGTGCTCTTAAGCAAGGCACTTAACCATTATTGCTTCGTCCTTCGAATGGGACGTAAAGTTGTAGGTCCCGTGTGTTGTATAATGCACGTAAAAGAACCCAGTAAACACTTATCGATAAGAGAAGGGGTTTGCCCCGGTGTTTCTGGCCTCCTGTATAAACTCCCACGTGGAGTATTTAGGAGAAGAACCAACCAAGAACCAAGAAGAATGGAAACTCATTTTCCAGGTTTTCCTGATTTCCAGAGTGACTGGGAACCCTGTGAAATAGTCATCTCTTGATGATGAACAAAGCAGTCAAGCACTGACTGAACAAAGCTTATTCTCAAAAGTATGATTTACGAAAGAATCTGTTTTGTTTGTCGGCCTTGGTAAATATGAATTCTCTACCAGAAAGCTTAGCAAGGAGGTCTGCCTGATGTTGAGAAATGACTATTCAACTTACCATAATAGCATTGACTATGTCATTGTCGTTATTCTTTAAGGCTTTGACAGCCTTGGAGCGGGATACGTTGGCCTGTTGAACCACAAGCTCAATGTCTTTGGCTTCCACGCCGGTCTCGTCAACCTGCGATGAAAGAACACAAACAATCAAACAGTGATGTAGTGCCTTGATGCTGGGCCTTGGCCTTAAGGCTGCCTTAAGGCTGAACTTTAGCGCCTTGGCCTTGGCCTCGAGGCTTGAGGGCAAAAGCCTTGGCCTTGAGGGTTCAGGGCCTTGCAATTTTGAGTCAAGGCTCTTCAAGGCCCATAGATTTTTGCAATTTCCAGATAAATCTGTTTGAAATTTTGTTCTTACCATTTTAATCGTGTTACCATGGAGGAGGGAAACACCCTATAGATTTGTGTGTTGGGCACACTTCCACTTTTATAGCATCATATTTTGTTACCATTGTAGTAGATTTGCTGCAACAATATTCTGTACACTTGTGGGGCTAATGAGATGATCACTTAAATTGTATACAATTATGGAATAGATCTGATTGGTTGTATATGTCTCCCTGATAAGTGCTAAAGATTTGCATGTATCTGTTTTAGATAATGCTAATATTTCTGACCATGTTGGCCCAGCAAATAAAAAATTCCCAAATCAGTTTCTTGGATCCCCCTTTTGTTACACTCGGGAGAATTGTGCGTCAATATATCGTTATTTTGTTTCAGTTAAACCATATTCATGAAGACCTGAACTTATACTTTAATAGATACAATGCAGTCATAAAACAGTGTATGCGAGCATGTTGATTGCAATTAAAGACAAGTTGTTCTTCTTAATGAGCGATTCGTGATGATGTGTCATGTGACTATAATTAGTTATATATTAGTGGTCATTTTATAAAACAGAGCCTTGGCCTTGAGGGTTAAGCCTTGGCCTTGGCTTCGAGGCTTGAGGGTCAAAGCCTTGGCCTTGAGGGTCGAAGCCTTTGCTCCAACACAGCAATCAAAATAAGAGAAGCCTATCAAATATTTTGTGCATGTTGGACTTTTGTGCAGGCATTTTTCGGGCATTAACCCTAACTCCCTAGCATAATTTACTAGGAACCATACCCATCCTGGCAAATTCCAACACCCACATGGGAAATCGTACACACACACTGGTGGACTTAGTTTCTGTAGGTATGCCAAACCCAATGTAAAATACCATCAGTTTAGGGGTACTGTACCTATCCCAGAAGATTTCAACAAAACCTGCTGTTGGGCTTTGATGGGTTGAGTTCGGTTAGGGTTAATCACGGCTGTCATTGGTCAAAATATCCCTGGCGAGGTTTAACGGATCTGCCTTTGAACAGGGGGTTTGATGTCCAAAGAACAGCATTGATTTTTTTATGAGTTAAGAGTAAAAAATTCAAATATTTTTGAAAAGCCCTACTTCGTCCTCTTCATCTTCTTCTTGGATTGCTTGAGCCACTGTGGCATTACTGTCTGCAGTAATGGCTGGGCTTTGCTCCTGGTTTCGGAACTGCTCGGCGGCGACCACCTGGGCCTGTTGACTCAAATCCTCAATCTGAAACAGAAATATGAACAACCACCAAGAAACATGTAAAACTGTTTATGAATTACAACTTTTTACAGTTTATCACTTCAGATTTGAAGATTTCCGATGGAAATACAAGACGAGGCAAGCCTAGAAAAGCAGGTTCTGGAACATTCCAAGTAACGAGGGACAGTCAGTCTGGATGTCAGTGAAACTGATATAAAGAGGACACTTAACTGGCCTTCTAAATGGATCAGTCTATTACAGCAAACAGAGAATCCTCCCCACCTTGGCCTCCCCGAAGATGATGTGCAAGTCAGAGCCGGGACTCTTGAAGACGTCGGGCTCCTGGATGACAAACAGGATGGTCTTGGATTTGCGGATGGTGACGCGCTTGATGCCGGCCACGCTCTTCAGGCCGCATTTGGACATCAGCTTTCTGGCTTTCTTCTCCCCGCGACTCTGCTTGGCTTTGCTGACGGGCTCCTCTCCCGTGCCCATCTGTGAATGAAAGTCACAAGGGAGCGACATTAGAAACGACTACTGGGCGGTCACATACAGACAAACTAGTGCAAATAAATTTGGATTGGTAGCATTCTGACAGTCAAATTTCTGAATGTTCATATGGTTCATCTTTACCGAGAATATCAAACTTTGCTTGGACAAATATGGTAATATTCAAGAAAATCCAACATCAAACTGTAATTTCCTCTCATACACAGTATTGAGAATCCCAAATTTTTGGGACTAGACCTACCTGTGCATGTAGCTGTGATGTAGCCTGGTCTGCATCCTCCAGGTCAGGCACTGAGCCGTCACTGTCTGATTCCGTGCCAGACGAAGCTATGAAACACAAAACCAACAGAGACAGTTTTAGCTTTTGCTCTCGTGGTACAATATTCTCAGCGTTAGCCATGTATGCCGATGACAAAATTCCTCATACTGCATTTAGTAGTCAGCAAGCCATGTACATGTACAATGTTCCTCTTGAACTTTTTTGGGAGGAGGATGGAGAATTTTCTGACCTTCAGCACAGGCATGCAACTGGGAATTTGAAGAAAAAAACGAGGAAACTCCAAACCACACAAGACTTCGTATAGTAGTTTTTAATTTGTAACAGCATTCATGATAAGTAAAAAATCAAAGTGGAAATCAGCAGATCTGAGGAAAAGTTGCATGGCTGTCAGCAAGAACTGAACAATTCACAAAACAAGAATTTCCCCAAAAAGGGGGAATCTTGCTTAACAAACAGGGATTACCCTCACTAAAGTCACAGTCCTGAAACCTTTGATTTTAGGCAGTGGATATTCAGCCGGAGACGGCAAACCTTTAGTAAACATTAGCTTGCCGGATATGCATGAACATGCGCAGTTACTGGGTTTTTTTTTTTACTTAGACATTTTCCGGTGACAAATTTTAGTCTGGCTCCATGCCAACATTATCGTTGTAACTTCGTATTCACAAGATGGGAATCAGACCATTTTACAATTTCAGACTTTATTTCCCTTTAAAAAAAATCCTCCAGAGCCACAAATCTGAAAAAGAAAATGTAATAGTCCGCAAAAAATGTTTGAGACATGTTAAAATAATAAAAAGACGAATATTCTTATTTTGGGGGGATGGGTAAAAAAACCTTAAAAATTTCACCAGCGGGGATCGAACCCGGATCTTCCCGCTCATGAGATCCCTTGCTTATCCACTAGGCCACAGGTGCTACACAACCGTTGGTGGTAATTTAATATATCTTATAATTCAGCCCTATCTTAGAGAGTACAGCGCCCTCTGTTGATAGGGATTGCCGCCGGCAATATATCCACTATCTTTATTTTACATACACCATAGGGGGTTCAGGTTTAGAGTATACATTTGGAGCAATGCAATGAAATGCTTGGGCCTTGAGGTACACTGTCATGACTGTTGCATATATTTACCATCGTCTTTGACTTCTTCAACTGAGGGCTGAACAGCTTCTGTCGTTTCTGACGGCATCTTGTTCTGTAACTTAGTTTGTTGTTCTGGAAAATTCCAAATGTTATTCAACCAATTGATTAGCAGTTAGCACCTCACTCAGTACACTATAGTTCACTGTATTTACACTGTATTACACTGTACTAATGAATGCTTTGGAAAGAATGTTGCAACCTGACGCCTCTTCAGCGGTTGTGTACAAATTCAGAGTCAAGAAAAGTTTGTAAGTATTTCCTAAAAAAATTGGAAATGTTTCTCAGTCCAAGATTCATGTCTTAGCATTTTTGCAATGACTGACCTTCATAATTGACAATAATTATGATGATGAAGAAAAATAAAAGCAGCGTCAGGTTCCAACATTCTTTCCTAATTGGACATGTTGGACTGGTTCGGTTGTTTCAGACGCCAGTTTATTTTCTTGCATTGCATGTTTGCAACACCTTATGTTTTGGGACGCTCTAGCCCCATAAATGTGGCAAATTTACTGGACTACAGTAGTCCAGTAAATTGGCCACATTTATGGGGCTAGGGACGCTCATACATTAGTACAATTTTCGGACTAAGACTGACTTGGCCCGACTTTATACATGCACAACTTTATGTACATATTTGGACATGCAAAGAACCGCGATTTTAATCATCAAACATACATTACCACGACACAAAAGGTAATACAAAAGTACCTAAAAATACTCAAGACTATGCTGGCAATGAAGAAATTCAAGTTTACCTTCTTAATGATGCGATGATTACAGATTACTGATAGAATTCTTCTCTTTTTCACGTGTAATCGCAGTATGACGAATTTCTTCGCTCGTACTAAGCCACAAGAGGGCGCACTCCATTTTCACCGGTATACAGCGAGCGCTCGCGCTCATCGATCATGCATGGTATATGAGGGCGCTAGCTAGCGCGAATGCGGGCTCGCAAAAGATTGCCCAGTGCTTTTGTGATCCGAAATAGGTTGTTGCGATCTTCATTTTAATGATTGAAAGCAAGACCTTAAAATTAGGTTACTCAACTTTGAACTTGCCAATTGTTAACAAATTTACGGTTTTAGTCTAATGATCGCGCGCAGTAATTTCGAGCGTTAAACATCATTGGACCCGGTGGTGCCCGGTTATCAAATACTTTCTTTTCGTAATTATTGTTTGAATTAGACATCAATGTTCTCATTGTATTGTTGCCATAATCTGATGGTTTTAGTAAATGCTGATGGCAAAAAAGGTCGGCAGCAGCTTTACTTTAAACAAACGAGGTTTCCATAAAATCGCAGTAATCAGCTAGACCATTACTTTGGTAGGGCGCCATCCCCGTTTAAATCCCCGGGATAGGATCTTTATGGACACACCATGCACGGCCACACGTGAAGAGGGCGCCCTTTGCTATTGACTGTTTGCTACTAGTACACCAGTCCCACCTGTTCAGCTTCAAATACTGCAATGACCAAGATCAGACAGACCAAACCGAAAACATTCCCTTTAAATGATTTTAAATCCACTTTTTTGGGAAAAAATGTTCTTAACGTCTTCCGGCGGGCAGTTTTTTTAAAACCTCAAACCCACATCATAATATTTATTTAGTAACTTACAAGATTATATGCGCGTGCTCTCATCAACAATGAATCTCCGAACAACATTTCATGATGTATGATTTTGCCGAAAGAAATTCTGCTTTTTTTGTAAAATATCATACAGGGTGAGTTTAAAAAAAACCAAATGGCGCCCCTATTTTGTAAAAAAGTTCTACATGTAGCGCTTTCCAGATCTTGGATATGTGGAAGCCCAATCAATAAGCTTTCTTTTAGTACAAGAATCATTCAAATCACATGTACTTTTCTATATGGAATATTGAACACAAACGCAGTTTCAAAATGTTGTCCCCTGATCACATTTTAAGGTACGTGATATTGCAGTAAACTTAAACCATGTCGTATCATGAAAACAAATAACCCCGTTAGCCCATAAACTCTTCGACATTATAAAGCATTTTTAAAATTGGAAGAAGTGCCAGTTATCATGGTTGGATGTTCTGATGTGTTTTTTGATAATTGTTTTCGTTTCGCTGAAATATCACTGACCTTAATTGTGATCTGTGGACAGAATGATATAACTGACGTGTTTGTGTTAAGTCCATAACTTGATAAGTATACATCAGCGATTTGAATGATTCTTTTACTTAAAGAAAATTTATTAATTGGACTTTTAGGTCTACATCCTAGATCTTGAACGCGCTGCAAGCATGCAGAACTTCTTTAAAAACTAACAGGGGGAGCCACTTGAGTTTCCAATTTTTTGACTCCAGTGTATTTGGGCCTTCGGGAACCTACCGCCAAAAAAAAAGGCTTTTTTTATTTTGGATTCAGCGATTGCGCCTAAAACGCACAAAAAGATCCGTCTGAATTATTGTAGAATGAAGAAGTTAGCCCGCCACACTTTCGAGAAAAGCGAAACCAAACGAGAAGTCACCAAACGAACGATATTCCCAGGTAGCACTGAACCTTTTTCCAAGTGAATATTCGACGTAGTGAAACATTAATGCTTACGTCTTTCCGGTAACATTATAGCCACAACCACCAAAATAACAAGTATTCCATGAATTTCGTATGAGACGTTGAACTCGTCTGTAAATTAGTCGGTAGGAAGGTGTAAAAAAAAAAAAATACCAGCCTTGGTTTGTTGAACTCGGGGCTAGCACGTACGGGTGCGAACGTGACTCGGGTTCCGACTGTACTTCGCCAACCTGTACGTTGAGCAAGTTTTTTTCCCGGACAAAATCGGGTTTCGTGGTCAAAACAAATCGTGGTTTTTTCACAGTTTCCTCAAAAAGTTTAAAGTGTGCTATCCACTAAGCTGAGAGTTCAACAGGTTAGGTTTTGAACATTCTCCTTTGGATTTTGAGTGGTGTTATTGTTGGAAACGAACAATTTTTCACTGTTTCCTCAAAAAAGTACGTTTACCAAGTTTTTCCCCGACGGAAGTGTTTTGTGGTCAAAATATTGTGCACGTATACCGGTACTATTCGATATTGAAATAACCTTATTAGGACATAGTTCCACCCACATTTTTTGTTTCTCTCCGATATCATGCTTGTTGCGCAATTTTACGCATTACGTACCGTTATCGTTGGAGAACGAAATTTGAAACTTCAGATAATATGAAACACTTCCTTGTGTTCTCAGGGCAAATCCGTTGTGATTTTGTGACGTCATGGTTTATCCGTGAAAGTTTGATGTCGAAAGTTTGAGGTTGAATCGGCAATTTCATTGAACTTTGATGGGCTTGGCTGTTGGGAAAAAAACTGAACGGTGATGCGATGATTCGCTCACGTAACACAGCAATTAAGAGTGATTTTCAAACCAGGACACGTTTTGGTTTTTATATATTGATTCTTTTATTTTTGCACAGGGATTCGCTCACAGAATTGCCACATATCTGTACAGAAGCGAGGTTATTATCTTGCAGAATATATACGTACTGGCTCATTCGCGTAAGAAAACATCCAAAATGTTCCCCAATCGGGGAAAGAAAGGAATTGCATCAGGAATACAACAATACCACCATTCACATCAAGCTTGGGGAAACCCCTGGAACGGTCTTATCTGGAGCAGCATCCGATTCTAAACGAGGGCCCACATCCGTGCATTCTATCACAGGTGACTTCGAGTCGAACCACGGATACACACCCCAAGCACTGTCATGGTGCCAAAATAATGGTTATTCCATAAACAGAGACTTTGAGGATGGGCATCAGGACACGGCCGAAATGACTCAGTTGCTATTTCTGTCACCGGAACTTTCACCTCCGTATAGAGAAAAACACACTTTAACCGAAAGTTGTTGCACACGTGTTTTATAGCGGAGACTGTGTGTAACATAAGCCGGTCGTGAACTTGTTGGAAATGAAAGTTTCAAGGTGAGACGTCTGAGATCAGTGTACGAGGATTTATTCAACTTTACGAGCGGGGATGAGGCTGTGCTTGGTGGGAGGGGTAAAACACGGGCGGGTCTGTGGTCGGGTCTCGAGCTGCAACTGACGAAAGATCGAATGACACTTTTTTCATGAATGCTCAATGGTATCTTTGAAATCAAATTGACCAAATACATGATGATTAAATGATTTTATTAAAATAAATTTAAAAACTGATTCTGATTCAAATCATCCAATTTGACTGTCTGAGGAGCCACACACAACTTAAAGTGGCAAATTCTCTACAGAGGTATCTGAATTATGCGTTAAAAATAATAAAAGCCAGTCAACCACAGTGCTTGGTTTTGAAATTGGGAAGGTGTTCAGCCCACTACCGTCAAAATGGTTTTAACTCAATTCAAGGGACCCACGGGTTAAGTGGCACTTGTATAGATACTGAGGGGCGGGGCACAATTTCTGTCGGGGGTGTCATTAGTTTAAAATGAGGACAAACACACAACTTCACGTAATTTGTCGTTGCAGACCATAATATTTACATCATGACTCTAGAAACTACTGTTGTCCTTACTTAATTATGCATCTAGAGTGCATTGGTTGTAATGTTTGCAACGAGGCAGGCGTCGAAACTGAAATACAAAATGACCGAGATGATAATATTATCTCATCGTCTGGATTACAATTTGCGGTCAGTTCGAAATAGAAGGGAATGAGTCATCCTCAGACCCCATCACCTGACAATTGGACCCGATCAGACTATTTTCATCTGGCCCCAAAAAAGAAAGCGACACAATACTTTCCGATCGGTGGTTCTTCCTTCCTACAGTTCCATCCATAGGCCTTGCCAAATATGGCAGGGCCCACGCGATATAACGGCCTTCAACAAATCATAGCCATGGAAACACGAAGTTTTGAAATAACATTGATGTTCGTTTCCTCTTCAGTGACATAGTGTGACGCGTTCGGTCATAAGTTTCAATGTTCCGGGCTTTTCTTCTTTGTTTTGAGATAACTGCGAATCTTACAGGCAGTTTTAATAGAGTTTGAGAATTTATATTGTAGGATTTTTTTTAGTGTGTTCCATTCAGTCCCCACTTGTATCATAACGAACTTTTTTTTCAGAAGAGGGGCTAAACCAGGAGTTTTGGATTGCAAAACATTTCTGAGGCACCGATTATCGGGACATTTTGGTAACAACGGGACTTTTGGTCCAAAGGTGTAATTTCGCAACATCCCCAGGTTCAGAATTTTGGGAAAGGCAAACAGGAGCTTTTTATTGTTGAAAACCGATTGGGTATACCCCCAAGAAAATGAGCCTTTTCCCCTGCAAATTGAACCGTTAAGTCTATGATATTTAAGTAGCATTTGGTGAAAGAAAAATGTACACAGAAGAAAAAAACCAAACAGGGGAGAATTGGGGCGGGAATTAACAGAATAACCGAGGTTCTATACAAAATACCTCTCAAGTATGATGGACCGGCAGACGGGAAAATGCACCCAAATTTCATCCGGCGTAAAAACCGCGCGCCGCCAGGTACATAATCGATTGTTTCATTTCGATGGCATCATCCTATTGTCTGCTCACACGAGGCAGGAAGTACATGTTTTATGTTGTCGCATGCAGCCCAAAGCCCAAATTTGGTATGATTTTGAGGAGGCCATTACGGCATACTCGATGGTTATCTTGATCCGCCGATAGTGCTGGGGAAACATGGTACAGTAGTTGTGGCTAATTAACCGAGATTGTGAGAAAAGGTATAGACAATAAAACAAATGATCGTAGTTTCAAAATAGCAAATTATGTCACTCTATTATGTCACGATGTGAATGATATCAACAAACCATTTATGGCAAGCTTTTTTGTGATTTTAAAACCTCAAAGTGGGTTGATGGATGGATTTCGCTTGCTCAAAACTGTAAAAAATTGTAAAATATTTAGTTTCTATAATTATTATAACACATCATTCATTCGAAAAATTACCAAAAAACAGGCTTGCCCAAGGTTTCGTTATAGACTTTATTCACAAACACGACATTTTCGATCGTGTTCCTGAATCAATTGTATAAATTGTTAACAGTTGAATGGGAAGAGACTATTTCATGATTGGAGTGCGTTCCAAGCCTCACTTCTTTTTAATATGGCTCCAAACATTAGGGTATGTTTAATCACAATTTTTAAATTATTCATCACAGCAGACTGGTATTAATTTGTAATGAACTTCTAGTTCATTGCTTTCATATTCACTCGCAAGTTCCAAAAACTGAAGAGTATACCTCACTTTCAATTTGATATGGCCGACTCCTGAATAACTGGCGGATTACGGTGGAGGGTCCACCCCCACCCCACCCCGGACGCAAAAACGGAACATCATGCAGAAAAAACTAGCACATGCCTGCTATACCCCCCCCCCCCCCCGACAGCTAAACCCTATCTTGAGCCAAACCTGGATCCGCCCCTGGCTTTGCTCAGTCTTAAAGTTAGCGAGTTACATCACGGACAATGTTTCGTCCAGGGCGTAATAACGTGCACTTGTTGCGTGTATACACCTCATCAACACGGCAAGACGTTCCACCTGCTCCATAACGGCAGCAAACTCACTGCTTGTAACCACTGTCAAAACGGGGTTATCTTCCCGAGAAAGAAGATGGGGGAGATTTCGGGGTGTTTTCCCTTTCAAACTAAATGCGTCAATTCCCAAGTTGACTGCGTGCATTCATCAATATTATCACTGCCCGATTACGGAACACACCTTCACAAACGCGACATGGGCATCAACGCTAATCCAGTTTGGTCGCGGCCAATTAGAGACTCGTAAATTCATTTACGGTCAGGTAATCCGCGCCAACTTTTCCCTTGCCAATCGGCGCGGTGATTGCTAAATCCTTTAAATCCCCCGCCTAATTTGACCCAAGCCCGCTAAAGCTTTGCAAAGGTCCATTTTGAAAACTCTTGGGACTTTTTATATAAAGCCGGGTGACGCACATTTTTTTCGTCGGCTGTAGTTGCGGCTGGGGACGCGAATGTACCGTTGGGAAGAGAGAAAAACGGAGAAGGGGGGGGGGCCGACGATGAGGTCAAAACGAGGTGTAATTTTTTGTGAAGGGTGAAAGTACATTCGCTGGGCGTTTACTAAAAAACTTCGGTGTCAAAATGTCAGACAGATTTCTGGAATGATTCAATACGTGTAGGTGTCGCCTCCAGTTTAGAACTTAGTCTCCAGACGGGACAAGTGAAAGATTTGCCGAACTGTGAGTTGGGTTTAGCCTGTGCAACAGTGTTCTCATAGGAAGAGAAAGTTCACCGGAATCGGTTTTCAACCCTGTCGTCGATTTGGAGAGTACTTGGTTTTATTCCTGACCAGTTGAACAAGGCTTCATATGAAACCGTATCGATTGAACCAACATGTATTAACAACTTAATAATGTTTATCTGTTCGTGAAAAAGATTTGAAAAAGGAGAATCATTAGGCCTACAAAGTTGCCTTTCTTTTGTAAAATGTCTGTTACGGAGCTTGGCAACATAATTATTACGGACAACTGCCTGGTACGACCAGGGGTGAATCCAAATGACGCACTAGGGGTACCGAACATTGGAAATACTTATACCAAGGATGAGAACCAGAAAATCGATTGGCCACTCAAAGGTGGCTTTTTTTAACGTCAATACGGTCACTATTACTTAATTTCAGAAAAATCTTTAAAAAATAATAAATCCCCCAAATGGTCAAAATACTGCAATGTTGAGGCGGAGGGGATGTTATGTCTCACAGCTGGCCGAGTTTTGCAATGTTCTTTCCGTTGTTGTATGAGCTCCGCCTTCTTTCCCTTTACTTTGTTAACACGGAACCTTGAAAAGGAAATCTGAAACATTGTCTGTAGTTTAGGTAATCATCATGAAAGAACCCGGACATGATTTCAAGACCTCATTATCAATATCAACTTTGATTAATGTGGTATATTTATTATGCTACAAATAGATGGACAGAAAGAAAATGTTGCAAACGTTTCACAGTGGTAAGGGGAGGGGCGTCCTACTCCCCCCTAGCTGGAGGCCTGTACCCCTATATCCCCTCCCCATGCCCTTTTTTTAAAAGAATTATAATCAACCCATGTTTCTATCATGAAGTCAAGTCCATTTTTTTATTCAACGCTAAACAATTTTGTTAGAAACATTACACATCAAGTGACATTTTGTATTATACTTCAGCCAGAGTGAATGATAAAAATGACCCATGATTCACTGTAAAATATTTCTTTATTTCAAAATAAAAAGTGCATTTGATACGGTCAGTACTGGAAAACTGTCAAAAAGTTGGACTGGGAATCGAATCAAATTCTATCTGAAGATTACAGACTATAAACAAGCGTAATAATAAAAAACAAATTGAAAAATAAAGTGCATGCTTACTGACTGGATTGACCTGAAATGTACAAATGTATAAAGGCCTTTTTGTAAGTGACCTGCCACGTTCGAAACGCCGGCAGGACATCTAACTTTTTAAAGTTATATTAAAGAACTTGTGAGGACTAACTTAGCGGAATTGTTGGTTGACAATTCTTTTAAGCTTTCAGCATTATAGGCATAGTCCCTTTCCGAGCTTTTGCAGACAGTGAGCCCTGGTCCTATGTAGGCCAACTGTCCAAATTCCATGCCCTGCTCAACTCCTTTGGGACGGCTCAGGCTCAACTTTTCAGAGGGGCGTCTCAGTACCCCCACCCTTCAATACGTGGCACTCTCGCGAGGGGTGAGCGAGAAATCAAATAACTATCATCTTCCCTCTTGGTGCTAGTGTTTGCTTATCCGAGCGGAATACGGTAATGCTTACCACGCTTTAATCATCCTGTGGCACTCTAACGGGGACCTAATTACATTCACCAACATTCAAGTATTGACAGACGGGCTGAAGGCAGGCCTGCCCTTTTCCTAAATCCCTACTCCGTCAACTGTCTGAGTTTTGACCAAGACGATTGCTATCTGCTGTTCCCCCCGTGACCCCCCTCCCACCTCCTCTTTTCCCAACACCTAAAAATAAGCATTCACAGAAAACTGGGGGAGGGGGAAATATCAGAAGGGGGTGGGGGAAAAGTTCACATGCTGACTCACGTTGAGATCGGCTGGGATGGTTTCTCGCTGCCGCTGGGGATGGGAATAAAAGTTGCGCCCTCTATGTCATAGGGGGAGGGACGACGTATCGGGCAAGAGAGGGACCACCTTGATGATGTCATAACGGAGGTGAAACGGCTCCTTAGGGAGGAAAGGTTTGGTTAACTGGTTGCTGACAGCAGACAATGTGGCAGCTATCAGGGTGTGTTGGACGGTGGGACACTCAGGTCTCATTACAGTGGTGAATCGTACTTCCTCCTCGGTCCTGCTCCCTACGGGAAACTCCGCAACTCCGCTGCAGGTTACTTGCTCCGAGGAACATGGACGGGGGGGGGGGGGGGGAAGGAGAAAAGTGCAAGATGCATCAGTTGCCTCTCTCTCTCCGTGATCAGATGCAGACGGAGGATAATAGGAAACAGCGCAGGAAGGAAGACCCACTTCAGGAATTCCCTCCCTTGCCACTGCTCTGAGCGATTAAAGGATTAAGGGCAATTAAGGGAAGTGCAGGTTACCTGAGATGATGCGGAGGGGGGGGGGGGTGTTAAGTGACTGTGTAAGGTGCATCTGTAATCAGTGCAATTTAAATTGACGATAGCTCGACACCGCCCAAACGACTCGCAAGCATCTTTAAATAACCCATCAATATCATCCTCAGTTTTACCCCAGACTTTGGAATTAGCCAATTTTGAGTAATTACAAAATGTCAGGCTGCTTCGAGTTGATTTTAAGATTCAAAATCAGGGTGTGAACCCGAGAACTCACAAAAGTCATAATCTGCCCTTTTTACAGGTAGGTGAAGTGGTGAAAGGACTTGTTTTATTCTCCCATTTTTTAATCCAAACTTTTTAAAGATAATTGTACTTCTAGAGTCACAAAACAAGTGACTGAATCAGCAAAAAAGGAAACAGAAATAGTTCTAGGCTATCATTTGGTTTGCTTGGGAAAACATTAGCTTGTGGGGAAACAAACTTTCCGAATATCAAATATTCAAACTTCATGAAATTTCGATTTGGAGACTGAACAAAGAAATTGACCTGAACGGATTAGAACTAGTCTTCAGTATCATCCGTTGTTCAACGTTGATCAACGGAGCCTGTAAGCTCAGCAACAACGTCAGCACGCACATTTTATGTGACTCTGTGTGCCAGCCAATCAGAGTGGACTTTAGAAATCGCAACGACCTTTCGAGCAGAAATTCAGCCTATAAGCTGTAGATTGGTCAATTGGCTGCCAAGTTTTTGTAATACAACAACGGGTTACGGAAGAGCGATAGAAGGCGCCCGCTGAATGGTCAGAATCTTGAGGTCAAGACCCAGTCTTGTTTAGCATAATTAATTGCCAAATCTGCACGTATATCATAGACGCTTGCTTTACAAGCAGCTATTCCATAGGCTAGGTTTTAACCTGCAACCTCCAAAATTCCGTATCCAGCCCTATACTCTGTTGGGAGTTCCCCAATTTCATCAATTTCTTTGTTCATATATAAGAATTTGTGTTTGTGTTTGTTTGCAGGAGTTACATACCACGTACATACAGCCACAGCAGCTTCAAATAGGCACCAGGTAGACAGCAGTGATTGCTTGTAAGTGTCTGGTGTATCTCTCTCTTTTTGTCGCAGTTGAAGGAGAAACTTGTGCACTAGTCCAGAACCCCCGAACAATTCCACTGTTCTGCATCTTCCAAACTACATAAGAATGGACGAGAAAATACACATGCCTGATGACAAAGAATACAGAAAACATGTACTATATTTATCAAGCTACGACAATGTGGGAACGCATCATTAGTATCTGGATCAAAAAAATATTTTTGATTGCTTTTTAAAAGGAGGATGTTTTATGGTTTTGTTTCTCTGGGAAAAAAAACAACAAACAAAATACAAAGCACTTGTAAGAGTTTGTGGCACCTCAACAACCGTACCGGCACTCTTGATTCAGAGGACCTTTAGATTACTAAGAAAGCATTCACAGGCTTTGAAGCAGACAGCCCTATGCTAGATCTGTTATGCTTCGGAGCTGAGACCCCGCCTCCAAGTGGGTATGAAGAAGTGTATGTTCAACTTTGATAAGAGTTTGTTCAAACCATTTGTTTCCACAAAACAGGCCTTTGTCTCGTGTCTTTAATACGTTTGCCTCTCCTTTTTCAAAAATTTTCTACCATCATTGCTGGAATTCCAAAGTTGAATCCCATGTCATCAGGGTTTGTTTTGTTCAGGGTTAAATTTAACAGCCTTGTAGTTGAGTCCACCACAATTCTGGCCACAAGTAAATCACAAGTCTGGTCACTGGTCAGAGGTACATCACTTGTAAGTCCTTTCTCAAGCCTGGTCACAAGTAACAGGGGATGAACGATGTCAAAGTTGTGCCTTTGTCACTGTTTGTTTGAATAGCTTGTGACTGGAGGACTTGCGATTGACTCGACTACAACACTGTGATTAGGCCGGATAATATGCACAGACTAATAATGATGCTGATGATTTATGAATATTTACCCAGCCAAAACTTCTCAGTAAATACTGCACAAAGTAACTCTATAAAACAACCCAAGACATCGAAGCAGTGAGGGTCAAGTCCACTTTCTACATGCGACACAAAGCTCCTCTTCTTGAAGCTTGTGACAGAACAAGCTCTTGTTTACTGTTTGTCTGCAAATCGAGCCGGGGCCATCAACACAAGCCTGTTCCTGACCCCGCCATGAGGGTAATAATTAGTAACCTTAAGCCCTCTAATCCCAAGATTCTAATCAGTGCTTCTAGAAGTCTGTCAGTAGGCACTCCGACATGTTTGATGTTCCCCCTGTACCACCCCCCCCCCCCTCCTTCTTGGCAAGCTATTCCAGTCTCCCTGAGCTAACTGAAGCATCCTCATATCCGGTACCCCCTGAATCCCCCCTTCTTACCCCCCTACTACAAGCCCTGTTCCTATCCTCTCATCCGTCTTAAACTAATCCCGACTGACATTGGCTCATTATGGATATCCAAAGTTGTGGAGGAACAGAAAAATTTGTCTCCTCCTTTTAGAGAGTCCCCCAATTGATGGGCACAACAGGTGGATTTGAGGAAAGGGGAGGGGGATTTATCACTGAGGACGTGTTGTAAGGGGGAGGTACTGACGTGACCTTTTTGCTGACATGATCCTTCAGGGGAAGGGGGTCTTACCTGCGATTGTAAGGTGATGAAGAGGCCGGTTTGGCACTGTAATTGTACGGTTCCCCTATCTGATGGCTCGTCGCAGGTGGTTTAATGAGTGTCTTTGCAAATCATTCTGCCGGGGCTAGGGCAGGCTGATTAACTTGATCTGCTTGTAAAGCACAAGGATACATGTAATTGTAGGATGAAATGGGACGTTAAAGGGTTAGAGGGGGGAAGGGGGACTGCACAGGGGTTGCTTTGGGTTATATAAAAGGAATCTGGTTACTCAAACAAGGTGTCTTAGGGCAGTGACCTCGTATTCTAAAAGTTACAATAGGATGGTCCTGCTTTTAGACAATACAACATTATAAAGTGGTGCTATAAGTAAAGGCCGTTCTGCATCGATCATTTCTCCTTTGTGCGCCAATGCAGATCTGGGTTTTTGCGAATTGGTTGCCAGGAATTAGGGGGTTGTCAAAACACCAGCTTTGTCTCTGGGTTAGGTTTGCAGCTCAGAATCAATGAAAGAAAAACCTTTAAACTTGGGCCTCCAATGGCAGGATTTGGTATCCTGAAGCAAACCATGATCCCACAAAGTGTGCCAGAGCTAGGGGTTTCAAAAGTCTCCAGGTGGTGAAGTCAATATGGAATTTGTAGTTTGAAAATGCTGTAGATGCCTGGGATTGCTTATATGTTTGGTGCCCAGTCATGTGAGCCCTCATTTGACTCGTGTGGCCTTAAAGGTACTGATGCTCTGAAGGTCTGGGTGGGACAAGGAATATGCCCACCCCTGTATTTTTTTATGAATAGAGGGAGGTATGATTGCTGTGAACAGGTGCTGAAAAAAGAGGTACACCCTTCTACCAGATCTCAAGGCATCCTCCCTGAGAACAAATAAAGAGATGAAGGTGGGCAATCACATTGATGTCTAGCTGTTCACTACAAGCTGCAGAGTCTTTTGACTGCCAATTGGTCTTCCTATTTGTAATCCCTTTCAGTGTCTGCCTCTCCTCTGTAAGTCTGTCTGTCTGTCTGTTGGCCAGTCTGTCTAAACTGATGACCAGCTCCAATGACCTCATTCCCAACTGTTGACCATTTGCTCCCAGTCAGCTCCCAACAAAACGCTGACCAAATTAATCTGCCAAAACCCAACCAAACAATTTGTTCTTCATGACTAGACGGGAACAAAAAAGCTTAGCTGACACTGTGACTGGAGAACAGGTGAAGAAGGATTATTCATCTCCACTTGGAAAAGTCGAGTGATGCAGGAGGATGATTCGACATAAAAATCCCCGGAGCTGTGCCTTGTTTCCAATTTCTGGCTTTTGGGATTGATCCTTGATCACAGGTGATGCCTGGCCCATTTACTGGGGGGCCGTAACAAGGGGGGAAGGAAACAACAATATGACAGTGTTCCTCAATCATCTTCTCTGTTACTGGGACCCTGGTCGTGGTGCAGAAGAGGAGGGGGTGATTGCGTGCGAACGCACCCCCTGTGGGATTTCAGCGCTAGGTGAGCAGGAAATATTGCATCAAGGTTGACTTGTGGAAGTTGCCGAGGCCCCCCTTGGGTGACCGAAAGTGACAGAAGATCGCTGACAGGTGCCGATGCGTCACCCTGGAGCCACGGCACGCAGAGCTCCCTCTTGCTACACCAGCCTTCCACTCTCATTGACAAATCTGTCCTCTCCCTATTATCTCTCGCTTTCTCTCCCCTTCTTTCTCTTCCAGCTCGCGTCTTAAGTCTCTAAATCCCCGCTGTTCTGTCTTTTCCTGTTTCCTAAGCCACTTGTTTGGGCCACTCGGAAACGTAGAGTATTTATGCCCTATCTAGTCACGATGGCATGTCAAGGTCTTGATATGAAACAACATTCTTTCTGGAGGGTAATTAAAGGCTGATCAATGTCAGATTATCTGTTGATATCGGTAGATGTAACTTTAGAATTTAAGTACAATTATACAGCAAAATTTTGAAAATGTCCAACCCAAATCCCTTTGATATTTCCCCTCAACATTTCTGAAACGGAACAAGAAAAAGAAACAACTTCTCTTCACCTGCAGGTAATCCTAGAACTCTGCCCCCCCCAAAAAAAAAAGAACCACAGATTGACAGATTAGCTTATCCTCAGATTAAATCACATTTATTCTAAAGGATACTTAAAAAAAAAAAAAAAAAAACCCTACAGGTTTCAGAGACAAATTTGTACACTATAATACACACCTCTCGCACCATCGCCAGCTCCAGGCATTGGGGGGGGGGGGGACACACAATTGTAGATAATTTTTTTGCTGATGGGAAGCTGTTGCTCGCCAGGGGGGCCCGGCCCCTTATGCCCCCCCCCCCCATCAAACTAGTCTAAATTTAATCTGTATATTACAATCAATGAACCTCTAACCATCAAAAAGGGAAGAACAAAAAAAGGCGGTCGGGGTATAACATCTCAATCTATCAACTGAAACTTAATACTCAATTCTCGATCAATTCCAATATTAATTTTGTCAAATTGGAATATCCGTCTGATCCGTGTAGATCTGGGCAAGTGCACAACTAACTTACAGGGAAAGCATTATGGGAACTCGATCGTCAGAAAGCCCCCAAATAAGTGTGGACTTCTGCATAGGATGTAACAATAAATTGAGGGGGAAAACACAAGGAAATTGTTTGGGTGGGAAAAGATGACAAACTTTAGCTCAAGCCGGTTCCGGCCAGACAGGCTTAATAGAAATCCAGACAGAGTAACGACAATCGCACTTTTCTAGGGGTGGGGTGGGGGATGGGGGTGTTACAGAGCAGTGTTACATGGAGCTGCTGATGATCCGTTTTCATGGTAACAGAAGATGTGGCAGAATGAGGCTCAACAAAAGATATTCAAAGCTTTGGAGCAATAAAACGGGGGAGCCGAGTAAAAAACCTATAGAAAAATCAAATCATCAAAAAGTAACATATGAACAGACTTCTTTTTGAGAAGGTCGATCATTTTGATCATTTTTTTTACAAGCTCCTTTGTTAACCATCACTGAATGATCAATTTCCAACACACAAGAGAAATGCAATTAGATACTATATAGGTCACATACTTCACATGTCTAGAGTCTTAGAAGTTGAATCATGTTTCTAGCTTCGTTTCATATCGTGATCCATATAGCTGTTAAATTGCATCAAAGTAAAACAAATCAAACCATCAGAATCAACAACAAAAAGTCCAGCTTTTTGACAACATGGATTGGTCATGCTCTAATTTGCAGACATGCAACTGGAAAGTTACAGTAAAAAAAGAGGAAATTCAAAGCTTTACAAGACTTCATATATATTTTTTTTTTTCAATTAAATGGCATAAGTGTGAAGTGAAAAATAAGGAAATCAACTGATCCGAGGAAAAGTTGCATGCCTGGATCTGAGAGAAATTTCAGTAAGTGAAGGAATGTGAAATGTCATAAGAGGAGGCTCGGAGGTAAGCTTACAGGCAAGGTGGGCTCAACGGTTTACGGAGACCGGCCGTCGCGCCCCTCCGGACAGATCAAGACAGGAATCAATGCATCGCCCAAACACCTGGGCTTGAGACCCCGATACAAAACGGGTCTTCAGACACGCACGACTATCCCCCCTGCATCCCTTCACTTCTCCTTCAATCAATATACCCCTTGGAGCAGGTGGAAGGAGAGGGGGTGGGGAAGCGATATTGCAGAAAGATGAAAAAAAGAAAGGAAGGAAGGGGTAATACATGGAGGCAAGCATGAGGAAAAACGGACGATTTCTCATCCGACATACCCGCTGATCGGCAGCCGCTTGCGGAACCAGAGGCAAGTGAGACGTGAGATCTATAAAACACCGCCCGGACACCTGTGAGCTGAGACGCTCGATAGGACAGGTTCTCGAGACGTGTTTTTCTCCCCACCACGTCCTCCTAAAACTCTCATCACTTCTCCTGGAATCAATACAAGCCTCAGAGATATCTTCACAGGTCAGTAATGATTTTTTTTTTCTTTTCTTGTTTGCAGTGGCGGACTGGATTAGACAGGTATTCAGGGTATCACAGAGAAGGGGTCTTCAACCGTGCTACTGATCCTGTTGGACAAAAAAAATCACTGCTTAAGCCAAAAAAAACTTATGCTTCCGGTTTGCAACCTTTCTAACAGCCCCTACCCTCATTTTTTTGATGGGAAAAATGAGGAGAAAAACCACCCAAAACCATCAATTTCTACCTTTTACCCTTGATTACACACAGACGCCTCCATATGATCGTACACAAAAAAAAAATTGGCAAAAAAAACAAGAATTCCCTACCTACCTACCCTATTTTCAACTGCCACGTAATCGGAAGCAGAACTTTTTTCTTTTGGCCTAATCAGGATTTGGATTATTCTGCCCCCACAAAAATTGTTTGAAATGGCTTAAAAATCATAGAAATGACACTCTTTAGAAATTAGCACTGTTTTCCCTGTTTCCCAGCAACAATATTGGCTTCTCAACTGATGTTCACCTCATTTGAAGGAAACTGATAAGGACAACAGATATTTTCAAATCTAATTTTCACAATTTACGACTTTGTCCTATTTTGTGGCTTATTTTGAAGAGATCAACATTCATCTTTCAAGCACGATTTTAAGATAGTTCATCTCCCAAGTTTTTAAAGGTGTTGTGTGGACAATGTGTGCCTATTTTGGGTAGCACTGTGCTCAACGGTTCGAATACAACCAGCACAGAGTTTGACAAATTTCAGACGAAGGGTACAGAAAATCTTCAAACTGTATTCACTGCACACTGTTAACCAATCTTGGGAAGTGTCTTTTTCCATAAGAACCAATCTTACCAGAAAGCTGAGGTGTGGTCAGAGTCACCCGAATGTACTCCGATTTTAAAGGACCCATATTTTGAAAGTACAGAGTCATAACCCATTTTCAAACAACACCTTCCAAAATGAATACAACATGTGTGATTATGAGATGGATTTGTTATGTCTTTGGCACGGATTAAGCCGAGGGGTCACATAAGGAAGGTAAACCTGACAAATCCTTGACACGATCTGACAATTGTTCTCTCCCCCCCCCCAAAAAAAAACCTCCAGCAGGAAATCGAACAAGATCTACTGATTAAGATGGCTGTATGTATTATTGGCCTCCATAGCAATGGGGGAATAGTGCAAGGTCGCTTGACCTTTCCTGAGAATAAGGTCACGAAAGAAGGGTCTGCTATTAGCCAATGGAAGGGCAGGGATATAGCTCTCCGGTAGCCTTAGCCTCTTGGTGTTGGTAGTCACAGCCCCAGAAGCAGTGGATCCAAGTGTGGAGGATAGCCCTACATAGAATGTCATTTGAGGCTTTGTACTTTGGAGAGTGCAACATGGGCGAAGTCTTGTGAAGCGACTGACTCTATAAAGAGAGACGCAGTTCTGATAAGAACAAGAGGTGCAATTTTTACTCAACGGTACAGGCAGCATTCGCCTGATGAAAGCAGTTCACACTGGTTCGGTTATCACCTTCTCTTTATAAAGTCAGTCATATCGCAAACCACTCCCAGGCGGTCCTCTGAATTGGTTAAGTGGATGAATTATAGCTAGCTAACAACAGCTCAGTGTTTCCAACAGATTACAGAAAAAGGTTTTCAATTAGCAAGAGACTTGCACTATTTGGGAACTGTTAAAGGGGCCGGGGTGGTCAAGGCGTGGGGACATCCCTTTGACTTCTCTAACACAAAACTGTGTCACTGTCAGCAAAAAGTGGCCGAGCAAAAAGAGAGCGATAAAAACAGGAGTGAAAGAAGTCCATCAGCTATTCATGATGACAACCTCAGACTGCTGCCTCTATCTCCATCAGTCCACACACCCGCCCCAACCATCCACTTTAACTTGAACTGGTTAGAAAAAAAGTTGAATCCCTTCACGCAAGACTTTGGCATCTATAGCCTGTCTCACTGCCACCCAGATTATCACCCTTATTAGCCAATTTACACCTCTAGGAGTCCCCGCCTAATCACACATCCCCCTTCCTCCCTCCACCTCCTATCCTCCCTCCCCCCCCCCCCCCCTCCTCTGACAAATCTAAAAATATACCTTTTGTGAAACTTGCAGCTTGCAGTAAAGCCACACTTTATTGTGGGTCGACCAGAACCATACATACAAGCAGCCTGTCTGCGGGCTTGGCAGTAATCCTCCCACTCGAAGTTCAATGTTGCCATGCCGGGAGCTGGATGTCAACACGGTAAATGATCACCATCCTGTAGACATAAAAATTGAAAGAAAGAAGGACCAATGGACAAGACAGAACATGAACTTTGTGTTTATAAAAACGCACAGGCAGCTCTTTGTTCAAAGAGTTAGATAGATTTTAGACAAAGCATGAAACACTTTTTCCTCTCTTCGCTACCGCTGACTTTTATAATTTGCTGCTCAAGTAACATTAAAATGAATTCAAACTGTTTTCATTTGACGGGTGGTTACTTTGCTTTACATAACCACTTTTTCAGGAGGAAAAAAAGGCATTAAACAGTGCATCCAGCATTTACAAAAGTGTAAATGTCAGATGTAACAGGGACAGGGAAACAGTGGACCTCAAATTTATAAAATGACCCACTTTGTCTCTGTTTACTGTGTCTGAGGAAATGCTTACATTATTCACTTCACTTTCTATTTTCAAAACATGTGATACAGGAATGTATCTGACTACAGTATCACAACAAAAGCCCCTTTAGCGATTCCTTACCATATGCCCTTGACACCAAAGTCGTTGCAATTAGTACAACAGCCTTTAACTTGACATTGTAACTGATCACATCATAAAAGCTTATGGCATGACACAGCCCTTATCAGAAAAAACAGCTCTCATAAAATTATACAGTACGCCTATCAACTAAACAATGCTCACATTCCACAACTCAGCCTACAGTATTTTAAAACGAGCATGGTTTCTCTATAGTATAGGGCATGGATACTTGCTCAATAATTTCTCGGGCTAGCTCGGTCATATATTTTAATTGCTTGATGTGATCACTTGTATGCCTAAGCATGTATTTAGCAGGAGGAACACAATACGTTTGGAAATAAGTAGACCTACACATAGTCGGCAAGCCTTCAATGCTGTGATGGATGGCATAAACTGTGAGAAAAACTAAGAAATAACACCCAGGGCTGGGTCGGCACGATTATGAAGATTGTATACACGGCACAGGTAGTGAGTGACCATTATGCCATTCGATCAAGAATTTGTGGTTCTTTTACATGAAAATAAGCCCCACGACGTGGCTGCTAACCAAACCCTTGCCTACTGCAATGGTGGCCAATCTCAGGAAACCGGATGGTCACATGGTTCAATTTTTTGACGTCTTAATACGATTGGACCCTAATAAAATCCTTTCTTTTGTAAAACCTTTTACTAACCTATGAAACATGCTTACCATGAAAAAAACTTTCAGATTCTTTGGATAAAGCAAATTTGTTTCTGTTATGGTCCCAATTTATTTCTTCAATTATTTCCTTTATTTGTCCATTTCTATTATAGTCTTCTTCCCTTTGAACTAAAACTAAATGTTACGCAAATGTAGAACTTCTGTAATCTGCCACCAGGGGCTTAACCCTCAGACTAAGAGCCCCCGTCGAAACTTGGCAAGTTCGTGACGAAAAAAGAAACAGCCCCCTCCCCCATTCCCAGATCCAAATCCTATGACACCCATGTTAATAATGTATCAAATGACAGAGTACAAATAGGTTAGCCCCCTTTGGGATCACATTTGTTTCAATCAAACTTGGAATTTACATTTGAATAATTTCCAGACACATCGAGAGGGGAGGACCCACACGCGGGCCCTTGATGGTCACAATGATAACTTACCCCACCGACTACAAAATTAATCTAATTGGAGTTTCGTGAGAACACGCCACATCCCTAAAGGGCAAATACTGATAGCCAATTTCCAACTTTTTTTTTTTTTTTTGATGGAGAATAAAGAAGTGTATACCCGTGCCATGAAAAAGAAGAAGTCGGACAATTAAATTACAAATCTCCTTAAGACCAAATCAAGAGATTAGGCCGACGAAGGATGCAAAGTGGCATTTCTTCCTGTCAGTGGACAAACATTTGGACAGCCCTGATCCCAGTTTTCCTTCCCCCGTAATGGCTGTCACCCTCACCTGCAACAGCCAGCCCGGTGTGGGATCAACTAGCCAATTGGTCTTGACTTACCCGACCTGGATGCTCTGAGCTCAAGGAGAGGCTTTGTCAGGGGGCATTTCCCCTCCTGCGACCGAGCCATCCCCACCGTGGGGCCGAGGATTCTCCCACGCAGACCCAGACTGGAAAGGAGTTGGGGGGGGGGTGGAGGGGGGAGACAGTGGTTAGAGCTGTGGTTTGATGGCATCGCCACTCTGAGCATGTTAGAGCTTGATTGGGTTTAGGGTGAACTAATCCCAATCAGCTAAATTGGGAGGGGGAGGTTAAGATGATAACAGGTGTAGTCATGAATTTTAAATTGGGGATCAAGTAAGCACTGCATCCTATACGGGAACTATTTTACATTTCGTCGCAGACAATATGCATTACGTATACCTTGCTTATTCGGTAATGCATTTTTATCAAGGTGAGCAGCATCTGAATAGTGGGCACAGGAAATTATGAAGTGGGGGTGGGGGGGGGGGGGGGGGAGGGGGGACCATCGACCTCCCAACCCCATTGGCTAGTCCACTGCTTTCAGGATGGCTCAGTAATAATCATCCATCTGAAAAGGACAAATGCTAAACCTAGGATGAGTCCCTAGTCAATGGGTGTTTTTTTTTCATAAACCAGAAGCACAGACCTTTTGTGGTTAAACCCAAGCTTTCATCCTACATCATCTTCTTCTTTCTTTGGATCAAGTAAACAGGAATCAAACAGTTGGGCGAGCCATTTTTTTTTCCATCACTCTGATGGGGGACAGTCATTCCGCCTTGTCCTCCCTTACCTATTTTTACATCCTCAGTCCGATACTTTTGTGACTATAATACAAAGTTACAAAAATGGATGTATCTCTCACAAACTTGTTGAATCATGAGTCTGTGTTTTTTCACATCCGATTTGAATTGGTGAAGGGGGGGAGTTAGTCAAGTTCAGTGTCATGCGCCAACTGCTCTGACAAGTGACTAATTAGGGTATCACAGCCACACATGTCGGTCTGCAGGAGGCTTGGAAATTACTCCTGACAGGCTATGGGCCGCACTACATGCGCGTCTGTCCGTGCTGCTTAACGCTGAAGACATGTTAAACAGGTCCCCGGCTTAGGACAAAGTACCGGGGACTTAGCGCTGGTAACACTGTAAAACTATTAATGCGTTATTAATTAGGTCAGCGGGAGTACCGGGGGTTTATTACTGTCTGGGGGTTGGGAGGTGAATAATTATCACTTGGGTGCTGAGAACCAGATAAGAGATTCTTTGATGAAGGTTTTCCTTCTTGATTTACCTGGGTGTGATATCAAGATGGATGTGAGATGAACAGGGGAAAGGCTAGACTTGTGTTCAAGTACTAAAAGCAAACTGCCTGAATTTCTTCTTTAAGCCACCTATCCATACATATGCACTTTTTCAGTCTGTTTTGAGACTGTTGCATAGTTAGGCCTACATTTGGAGGGGAATGGGAAAAAAATGCAAATAGAAGGTGGCAATTGCTCCTGAAACTTGTACAAAAGTAATGACCCTGTTTTCCTTTAAGAAATTCACAATATGAACAAATAAAAACTGTAAATAATAGAGAGAAAATGAGGATAAAAACTTACAAAAATTGAACAAAAATGGCTTACCTGAACCAGAAGGTAAAACAATGTACAACTTTAATTCATGTATGAAAGGAGAACAAAGACTAACCCAACAACATAGAGCAAATTGCCTCTGCACACAGATCTATACACCCCTTTACTATGAATGGATCAGTCTGAAACTTTGCCAGCCAATGAGAAGAACCTAAAGGGCAGAATTCACCTTGGAATGCAAAGTCCATGCAAATCATGAATGAAGGACTGTACCATTAGTGGTGCTTCAAAGGGGTGCTGAAGGTAATGCACGGTAAAAAGCCGGGTGTAAGAAAAGAAGCAGTTTGTATGAAGTTACATATGTGCATGTAACTCTAATACGAAGATTTGGTTTAGCACATGGGTAACACAAACTGTCCAGGAATGGAATCATTAGTGTGTCAACTTTATTTTCTTTACATGACTAATTATTTTTTGCGTGGACCAGAAAAGCAACTTTAGTGGAAATGAGACATAAGAAAGATTACACACAGCTGTTGAACTGGCATTGATAATAACTTGTAATGCACCGCACAATACCCACTGTACATTCACGGGCCGCTGAAAGATGTTCCAAGGACAAGAGGTAAAGAACGCAAGGAAGCATTCAATGGCTACCCTTGACTCCAAAACACAAGTATGAGGATCCGGAAGTTTTAGGTGACACACGGCAAGTTCGATCAGCCCCTGGTTATCAAATCGAGTTTCGTCTTTCGGGTAAAAAGTGCAGCCTGAGATACTTATGATACGGTGAGGTCATCAATGGGGATTAGATTTGTCTCCGTCTCAGGAGAGATAACAAGGAAGTTGGTCTCATTAGGGTCAAGTTATTTGATTGGAAAATTGGAGGCATGTGTTGGTTGGCTCTAAGATACCTGTTTCGGAATTGGAACCATGAACACTTTGAGAAAAGTGGATTCCTAGCTCTATGGTAGATCCAACTATTATTCTACCATACCTATGACCTTATAATTTAGGGGAAGGAGACAGGACTCCCAATTGATGAGGTGTGAGAGGAAATGGGTTATTTGAAGGGATTTCATAAAAATTTAAATATTCTAATTGGCCAGGGAATGATCACATGTTAAAGACCACCTGCATACAGTTAACACAGAAACAAACCCAAGTACAATCAGACATTCATAAATACCTGAGACAGTTAACCCATTCCTATTGGTCAAGAGTCCGTCACGTGGGTGGTTTTAAACCACCGATAAAACAAATCAGTGACATCCCCCAAAAAATTGAACTCTGCAGAGTTTTTTTTGCAGCTTACCAGAGCTCTGGTAAGCTACAACCTTTCTTCCATGCCGAGTTGTCACATGCAATTGTTAGCGTTGTGTGGAGAATACCAAAGATTCAAAAATTTGTTCAATCACCTTATATCAGAATATAATTTTTTTTTTAATATTTGACAAATTGGAGAGGTCTTGAGATGATGAAAAACATCTTTTAAGTTTCAATCATATAAAGTTGCATGGTTTTATTGTTTGTCAAATGCCACACTTTTGTTGAAATCTTCTTTTTGAGAACTTCCATGAGGCATATTATTTCAAATTTCTTCTTTAAAAATGGTCAAATATCAGCCATTCTGCTAGATCTTTTTTTATGATATTACTTTATAATCAATAAGATCTCTGTCAATTTTCTACCGCATCAGCGCGAAAATCCAAATCGCTGGCAAATTTAGGCAGGCGCATGTTCAATTTGATCAGCGCATTTCGAATATTCAAACATTCGATCAAGTCCAAGCTAAAATAATTGAATACTAAATTAATAGAAAATCCACAGCCGTAGCAATATAGTAGCAATGTACAACCTGTGATTGCATCCACCCCTGAACCCTCCGAGTTTAAGGACATTTTTAATTCAGGACATGGCAAAGAGTCCTCGTCAGGCATGACACACTGGGTGGCAACGGGTCATTTTGGGGTTCCGCGGTCCACCCATGCAGCCCCCCTCCCCCTAAGAGTCGTCTTCAATCATTTCTGGGGAGTTCCTAAATAGCCAAGCTGGAGCCACAAGAAATTATGACCAACAGCGTAAATGAAAAAAAAAAAACCTCTCATTGCCACGGCTCCATCAACGTTTAATCCTCCGTTTCCTTAGGAAGGAAGCGACAAGTCTAAAGAAGATACCAGGTTGACAAATATCAAATCGAAAATCAAAAAGAGATTTGTAACTGGCTCATAACACGACAGGAAATGACATATCTACCAATGGAAGAGCAAAATGTAATAGATGTTCAATTAACTTGCTAAAAGTGTAGACAGGGTGCCTGTGATTAGATATTTCGGGAACAGGAACTTTTTTTGGTTTCTGTTATTTTTTTCTCCTGGGGATTCTAGGGAACTACTCTGTTACACAGATTATTTGGGAGGTACCTGTTCTTGCGTGTGTGCGGTGAGTAAAATATTTGATGCTTCATCTGTCATCAGTCATTTTCAACATGCGCCAGATAGTTGTTGCACCACCAAAAACCAATGATACATGTACATCATGAAGAAATCAAGTTTTGTTTTTGCCGACTCACACTTCCTCCCCTCGCAGGTTCTTAAAAAAAACATCTTGGATAATTGTGGGATACATTGGTTTCCATTCAACTTAAAAGGAAATGACACACCACATCTGCTTCATTTCTATGATTCCCAAAATGAAGCAGATCAAGAATGTTATGGAGAAAAGGGAAAAAAGAACATTCTCTTGGCAGATTCTGGAACTTGTCATTGGCGCACATTTATCTTTCAATGGCACTGGTTCTAAACCACCCCTTGTGCCACAAAAAAAAAAGGAAAATCATGCAAAATAAAGTTGCACATGCCTGCTGACCCCCCCCCCCCCCCCCCCCCCCGAGCCAAAGCTGGATCCACCCCTGCTAGGGGTATTTCACATGATACGGATGATAGCTTACAGATCTCTGAAACTCCTTTATAGGATCCAAACATGCCAAATGAAATTTTGGAACTAAGAAGCCTATGTGGTGCTATCTCTTTTAATCAACCCAGCCCTGTAACCATCCACTGTCCTTCACTGAGCTCTCCATTGTCGAAAGAACACAAAACTAAAACCGGAATTAATTAATCTCCTGCAGACATTATGTGGTAATTTAAAATAACACATCATACTACCATACCCGCCCCCCCCTCCCCCCCCCCCCCCCCCCCCTCTACAACATACACAGAAATCAATTTTTCTGAGGAGTTCCTAAAGCAAGATACAGACATTGCGGGAGCGCATATTCCTTTCTGTACCATCATGGCCCCCGTGTCCTTTCTTGAAGTGCAGAGAAGGGATTTTTTCCTCTTCTTGATCTCAATGTTGGAAACAGGGACTCCGCTCTGAGGCAAAACGCCGTGCTATCACAACATACCGGAAATCTATATGCTCTGACAGCTGAGAAGGTCTCTCACATGAACAGAGGGAAAAAAATGTTACACGGCAGAGATGGGAAATATTGACTGGCCAGCGCTGGCAAGTCTACTGTTTGAGCTTCTGCATCCACTGAATGTCGAATAGCAGTTTTGTGGAATACACATTAATTTAGAGTTTAATATCAATTTTATAGAGACTCAATAAAAGATCCCACTAAGTTCAAAAATGTAAGTTAGGATATTTGATGGCGTATTAAGTAAAACAAATGTAGACAAATTTGAGAAAAAGTTTCTTTGAAACCAGAAATTCAGGACTCCTTATAAACTGTGTAAACATGAAATTCTGGGTTTTTGAGTCAATCTTTATTAAATTAATATGCGCCTTAAATGTGCGCTTAAGCGGCATGTTAATTCATCACGACATTCGACTGGGAATAAACAATGCTTTACCTCAGCACTTCAGTGGAACGTAACGCACTGGGAAGTGGGAACACTGTTTTGCTAGCAATTGAAAACATGTTAACGTCCTTATGCTGGGGAAAAATATAATGAAAACTGTCCTTCTGTCTTTTTATTCTGTTATTTATGTCAGAATGACGTAGCTCATTGAGGCAAAATGTATGTAAGTACAAATGAAAGATATTTTCATTCTCTATCGATTACCTGAAAAACCCGAATTTGAAGTTTGACCCATTTTTGCCCTGATGACCTTCTTCCACGGACCCAACGATTTATAAGCGGTCCTTAAAATTTGTACCTTTCGACATAAACCATTCTAGTCCTTCTCAAAAAAATTTAATTAATAAAATACTATATAGATCAACTGTCAGTATGACTATAATTTGTTTTTAGATGAAAATGGTAAATTTGGTTGCATTTTTTCATTTATTTAGATGTACATCGTGGGTAGGCTGATCACTGCAGTAGGCTTTTCTTTTCTCAAAAGTAAAAGCTTCAAGAAGGAAATTCAGAAAAAAAAAATTTGAAGTAGGAGGAAAACCTACATTAGTAACTTTTGAGAAAAACCCAAGCGATGAATTGGGGAGTCAAAACCAATCCACATTGTCCACCGAGTAGGATGCGAACCAGGACCATCAGAGGTGGAGGAAATTAAAAATACCACAACTCAACAACTCTTGAATATAGAAAACAAATGATACCACTGAAGCAACAAGGAATAGAGAACAAAATTAATTCCACCACGCAATAAAACCACAGGTAACCTTACAACATTATATTACATTTTAGTATATTTAGTCACTAAAGGATCCATAAAACCATAATGGAGAGCTCAGGCAGTTTCAGACTTGCAGTGAGTAACAGGAAACGCAGCTTGGGTGTTACACGGTCTAAAGGGTTGAATTAAATACCGTCTCCTACGAAAATACAGACACAAGTATAATTCCATATTTCTCAAAGTTCTATGGTTACACAGTACAGTAAACATACATTTTTTTCCCCTCCCGCACTGACGTAGCCCAGCAATGGCAATGCACATTGCAACATTCAGCCATGGATTTACTGGAATTCCACCTGGCGCCAGCCAGCTCTGTCGTAATTCCCCCACGTGTGCATCATGTGTGTGGTATAGTAGTATAGCCCCGAGAAGAATCAGGTACGTCTTTACTTAAAGAGGCAGTATATCTGCTTCTCCCTGTCAGGGTTACATGAGTTTGGGGGAAAATAACAAAAATCCACAAGATAGAATCGGCTGAGGGTTTTGGGGCCACCAGGGGAACCAGAGCAATGTAGGGTCTATGGTATGTTTGTATTTGCCTAAAGGAATCCCTTAAAGTATCCATTTACTTTCTTTTAATATGTACATGTCTAAAACTTTCACAGGTAAGTACAACTTTATGGCAAAACCCAGGAATTCCAGATTACAAACAGGATTTTTTGGAAAATACTGATATCGCGGAAAACATCCCTGACAAATCTCACCCCTGTCCTAAGGGTAAGGCCTTTTCACACTAGAGCATCCATCCCTGGGCTGAACTCACCCCGGGGCCGCCCATGGGTGACTCAAAGTTTTTTCACCCTCAAGTTCAACCCCGAGTTGTTTCAGACTTGAGAATTTCAAGTGTAAATCGTGGCCTATTTTCACTCCAGCGTCGCCCTGGGGCCACCCCCAAGATTTTGTCTAGTGTGAAAAGGCCACTAGTAGAAGGGACCTGTAATAACCTTGCCTTCTTCAAACTAGGGATCTTTGCAAATTATACCAGGAAATGTGGTACCAACTGTTTCACATGATGATCACGTGTTAGTTTTGGTCAGACAGTTTACAGCAATTTTACTTCCAAAGCAGGCAAAATAGTTAAGGCAAAAAGGGTTTCACTTTGAAGTCATGAATGAGCAAAGTTACGATTTTTTGGATACTGTACTCTTAAAGCCTTTTAAAAGTTTAGCATTTTCACAAAGCGAAATATTTCATTTTTCAATACCATAAATTTTATTTTATTCTGCAACACCGGTATTTCCTAACATGATGACTGTAACTTGAATAAAACAAAATATTGGGAAAAATATACCCATGGTGAGGACATTTTTTGCCTAAGCCAAATTTTGTTTGATTTTCAAAGAACGCATTACATTTTTAAGGTCACTGTTGTGTTATCTTCAAAAGTCACTTTAACGCATCATCACAGATGTTTTTCCCAAGTTTTTTCCTCCTTCAAAATACATGATTATAATTAAGATGGACTTACCAGCTTGTGTAAATACATGTAGATTGACAGAAGAGTTCAGCGACACTTGGAGTCAATGATAAAGGGTGCATATGGGGCCTCATTATTCCTGACACACTTGTTTACCTAAATAAAAGAAAAAACATTCATGAATCCTCTTTGATAGTTTTTAAAATTGTCAGAGACATTACCCTCAAGCATGGCTTACCAAACCATCCCTCCCCATAATCTCCCCTCCCCACCCAACCCCAAAATGGCATGTTTTTGAAAATATAACAAAACTCACTGATAAATCAGGGGCGGATTCAACTTTGGCTCAAAAGGAAGATGGGGTTTAGCTGTGGGGGGGGGTGTTTAGCAGGCATGAGCTACTTTTTTCCTGCGTGATTTTCCTATTTCTCATTTGTTTTTGCAGTCAAAGGGGTCCCACACTGTAATTTAATGTACGTTGTTTGTTGAACCACTTCAAGCACATCAGAATAAAATGCAAAAGGATTGAAAAGGCTGATTGGTTTTAGTAAGAAGACAAAACTTAATTGACATTGTCAGTGTCATTTTGAAAATTCCCCAAAATCCCTTTAAAGGTAATATACAACATTTGCAAACATAAAAACAAAACTACCAAATTGTTATGAAATACATTACTTGACTGTAAGTCAATTTTACTAGTCTAAAGCATCCTGTGAAATCATGGCACCTGGTGTACTGTCATTTATAAGAAAAGTGGATTTTTTGGTGTCAGTTTCCAACGATGGTTGGCCGACCATCGTTGGAAATAAACTGACTTTTTTAAAATACTGCCCCCAATTTACCACATTGAGTTAGTCCACATTTTGTTTGCAATCAGTTACACATCTGTGAACGGGTGCAAGCCGGCCAGATAGTCTGGTTCCCTGACCTGACAATTCCCCGATGTCTATAAATTGCTCCGTTTCGTCTAAAGTACCGGTAGGTCAGGGAACCAGACTACAAGAACAGCACTTTTTTTCTTGGGTTTTCCAGCATCTATGAACACAAAAATAAACAGGTCAGTGTAACAATATTTGCTATAAAAATACTAACCCCCAAATCCATGCATTTCTGAAAATTACAGCAAAAGCAAATGTTGTATTAGCTTTAAGGAGCTCACGGCATCTACAATGAACGTCATGTAAGTGGTAAATAACAAAAACAGACTAAAAGGAACAATTTTACAGTAGACAGGACACAAGGTCAACTTCACAGACAAAAGAAAAATACAATGGTCAAAAAGGAGAGCCTTCTAATCCAGCCACAAATTCTGAAAGTGCCAGGTTTTCTCGGAACACAAACAAAACTGACACCTATACATTTCTCCGACAAGTGCAATCTTCTGGAGAGTAAGGGCAAGTGTAAACAATAGTGTCCCTTGAGACAGTGACATTTTTGGGGCCGGCAGGCCCACCACGGCAGGCCCACAACGTGGGCTTAACCCCTTCTAAAGCCCGAATATTCCACCTTTGATTTTCTACAACTCCCCCTGTTAACGTTACACAGACTCTCCTACGAATCACCTGTGGGGGTCAGACTCGGGCAGCGATTCAGAAGCTACTGATGATCCCAACAGGGGTAGGATGGCGCCAGCAGGACTGAACCAGAGACCAGGGGTAGTGTATAGGTATCAGTCCGACTATCACAACACGGGCCAGGGGAGGAATGAGAAAGCCAGCCAGCCAGCCAGCCCCAGCAGGCTCAGCCAGCGAGTGAGAGAGAGAAAGTGGGAATAATGTATACTGATCACTGATGGATCCCAAGCAAAACAAACTGGAGGTGGATTGGGACACGATTCCATGTGCACTTATTGAAGATTACGGGAGGTGACCGGGGTAAACAAGAAGGGGTTTGTGTTTGGTGAAATCATTCAACAGGGTTCAGCATCCATCATGCTCAAATATTTGACTTGTCGAGCTCGGAGTTTGGAGTTGGACATCTCTCATTGGTATGAAAAGAAAAAGGCTTTAAAGGAATTGTTGAGGAGTGAAGTACTACTCAAGGAAATCTATGAGTCTTGTTCAATGCTGAGGAGTGCTTTGTTGGGTTGTTCTTTGTTTTGTTTTTTGTTTAATGATTTTATATTTTTCGAATTTGTTAGAATATTTAAATAATTGTTGAGTACACAGATATTTCACAGGTTTACAAAATACAGGAAGTGCAAAAGATACATGAATGGCATCTGAAATTTTGTGAATAGAGAATCTCAACCATGTCCATAAAAATAGGGCATGGTTGAAAACAAAATATGCTTCATTCAAAATTCTTTTTGTAATAGGTTGAGAAGTTACCAAACTTCAAGCAAACCAAAACACACTTGCTAACGTTTCACCTAACAAATTGAGCTATATAGGACAGAAGTTCACCACTGAATGTCATAACCATTCATGTCATTCTTGGGAATAGATTCAATCAAATGTGACTGGAATACAGCTTGAGCAAAAAATTCAAATGAACTTTGAACAAAAGTAAACCAATAGATCTTTGAACGTTTTAGAGTCTGTGTTAACATAGTAAACCCAGCGTACCTCCTTGAGAACAACACACAAGTCAAGTCTGGTTCACAGCAAACTTTCACACACAAACATTATTTTGGACACCCCTGACTCTTACAGCTTCAGCCAACCCACCAATGGAATTCCATTCACCCTATTGGTTGACACAACTTTCAGACTCTTCTATTGAAATCTTAAGGGGGAGGTGTGATTGTGTAAAGTATTGCTGATTGAGGGGCTTGAGCCCAGAGGGGATATTGTCTCATAATATAAACTGAGAATGTATTGAGTAAGTAAAGACAACAAACAGTGTGCTTCACAAGTTGACATTGTACCTGATGAAGAAACAGCCTTCAATCACTCACTTAAGATTTCATAAAATTTGAGACAATAATGTTGAAGTAAAATACAAATAATCTTAAGTGTACTTAATTGTGTAGCCTGCTTTTGTCCTTCATTAGCTCATCTTCCTTGGCATCCTACACACTGGACATGCTGTGTCTCTGATTAAAGCATTTTTTTTCAATTTCTAATTAAAGAGTAGTTAAATTTGCTTTTTAAGATCTATAACTTTCTCCCTGAGCTGAACAGTTTATGTTTCAGGAACTAAAACACAAAATGAAAATTTTTAGGTAGAGGAAAACACTTCTCCATAAATATTCTTTATGGAGACGCAGATAATGTCCATAATATTTTTCCTGTTTATACATCCTGCTGGAACTACAATTTGATACATCTATTGACATGCAAACTACCCTTCTGTTGGATGCTAACAAGTGCAATAGCAACAAATTCTTTCTGCATGATTTCGTCACCCTTGGAGAGTGCTCCAGACATGAGCGGTCGGGATAATGAAATAAAATATTGATCGGTCGATCTTCCATTACTCATCAGCCCACCGGAGAATCGAATCACTTCCCAAATATTGATCCACCAGGAGTGTGTGACTGTAAGTACATGAAACAATTTTATTTCCTTCCTGGCCTCTGCAACCCCCCCCCCCCCACCCTCTCCCCAAGAATTCCAGCCAGGGAGATCAGAGAGATGAGTTACAGGTGAGGTAAAATTATTCTTCCGTAAGCATTTGGGTCTAGTTTTCTCAGGCAGCCAGCACTAGTCTCAACTCAAGACGCTATATTGGCCGGTAGTGGATCACAACACTCTAACATTACGCCCTGTTTATTTGTTCTGGTGTAAGTATGCACCACATGGATGGTTCGACCCAATCTGACAGTAAAAAAAGGGTGGTCAAAATCAATAGTAGATCCATAATCAAATTTTCGGGGGGGGGGGGGGGGGGGGGGGGGGGGAGACGGGGGACAGAGAAGACAGTGCCACACCCAAGATTTGTCACAGAAGGGGCTGACCAGTTAGAGATATCAGTAGACCATAGCATCAATGTAAAAACAGTCATCTTCACCCATTCTCCTGTTTAAATATGTAAAACACCAAAAGAATAAGAACATTGGGCCTTTTTTTTGGGGGGGGGGACAGATGGGGAGAGGGGGGAGGGTGGAGTCCATGTGCCCCTGTTGCCCTCCCCCCCCCCCCCTTCCCTAAAGATCAAGCAATGAAATCTGCCACACCAAGGCATAAACTTCATCGCCAATCACTACAACATCTTGAACCGAGACTAGTACTCTCATAGCAGTGCGGAGCGGAGCAGAGCTGCAGAAGCATAATAGGAGCGCAGGAGGTTGGCAAAGGTCGGACAGGCTTCACGGCTCTCCGCACCGGTGACCCCTGAGTGATCAGCCGGCCCAGGTTTTCTGGCACCAGGACCAGACAGGCCGGCGCCAGCTGAAGACAAGGCAGAAATGGGGGAGGAGAGATTGGTTACCCCTGTTGGTTTGACACCAGATGTTGGAACTGGAAGTGCCCGGAGGATGATAATGATGATGATTAGCGTTGGGGGGAGGGAGGGGGGGGGAGGCGGAGGAGGGAGCATCATTAAAGGAGTGGTCTGGGACAGTGACCGCATCATGGGATCAGTTTGATACTATCGTAAGTTTCTCTGATACCTGCAAGTTGAGCCAGTTTTATACTTTAGACAGAATTCTTTTCTCAGTGTACGAAGTTGCCTGCCCAGAGCACTTCCTAAAATTGAGGAAAAATCTTTGACATTTTTATGAATTATGTGGTACAAAACAACATATATAAACTGGTACTGTTTTTAAAAGGACTGTAACTAACCTGCGTGAGTGGATTGTTCCGCAAAATATTAAAACAGCTTCTGAGAAAATGATTCACGAAAGTTACTTGTTTTGTTTTTTTCTCCAAGTTTTTTCCTTTCGTTTTCTATTATTTCCTCCATTTTCAGCTTTTATTCTATACTGTAGACACTTTGGGGGTCTGCATGACACTTTGTACTATTTTTTCCAGGGAGTCAAAGATCTGATAACAAGAATAGTGCACGTAATAAAGAAACACGATTACTAGCAAGATTTCAGCAAATAATGTGCACCTTTAATGCAAGGGGGGGGGGGGAGTATTCTCTCCTGTGTCACATGTGTGGGTTTGCAGGTAACAAATAAAAAAGAAAATACGGTTCTCATCAGCCAAACCAAACGGTACCATATGGCTCATGAATGGTTTACCGTGGGGCGGGATCCCCGTCACAGATGAGTTCGTTATCAATGGCTACACCATGCACCAGGAAGGTGTTAGGCCATTTTTCAAACCTCGGATTTAATTCGGCTTTGACTTCATCTCTGGTTCCAGAAGCATATCTGTAGGTTTGAACCAAAAGGAAATGCAAAACTTCGGGCGAGACTCTTCAATCAATGTTTGGTGTTCTTGTACCTGAAAAACAAATTGATCAATGTTGGACCCGATTCTTCTAAAAAACTCAAGAGCCTGGGGCCTGAGCTGTAAACAGAGCCGTGGTTTGCAACACGGCCAGATTAACTTTGAAAAGTTAGCTTCGAAAAGGCTACCTGAAAAAAAATAGGTTTTATCATAATTTGACCCCCAGAAGTCACAGAAACTTCAATTGTAAATGTACACTGCAGTGACAGTCTTCAATGATGGAAATTCAAGAGTGAAAAACCTTCTCCACGCTTCAGCAAAAAGCAAGCAATCACACTAATAATGCAAATTTACAGAGAACAGAAAACAAGGTTTGTCAAGTGTGGACAGACAGAAGAACAAACACTCCTCTCAAGGCTCCTGTCTCATCCAGTGCTGAAATAACAACTAGCATTATCACTCCGCATGAATTGGAAAGACAATGGAGGCAGTTTTGGCTGCATCTGCTCCGTTGACTTCATCTTAGATGTCTCACACATCAGGTGTGTCAACATCAACAGATTAGGGAGACCTAACTAATTGGCTTAAAACAGGACATCAAGATGTCGCATTATTCGGTCCTGATAGGTGTACACGAGGTCCAGCCACAGCCAAGTATGGATGATTTCCCTTCTCCACAGGCCCTTCCAACTCCACCACCAAATCCACCTCCCAATTACCCCAGGTAGATACACTTTCAATCAATTACCTTTGCTCTTCCTGAACCCCAGGCAGCTGTAGATCCCTTGACTGACAGCAAACACCAAGCACCTTCTGGTATTGGACCAGGCCTGGTGTGCGGTGGTGCCGGCCAGTCTAGACATCATAACTCAACACATTTCACAGCTGGGGCTGACTGCACTGAGGCTGAGCCTTCGGACTGCGGGACGTGATCAAACACTGAGGGGGGAGGAGTGACATCAAGAAATAAAATTACTTAAAAAAAAAAAAAATGGGGGAGAAGGAAAAATAAGGATGAAGGGGAAAAAATAATGAAAACAAACCCAGATGATGATGATGATGATGATGATCGGACCATGAGATGTATATGCAGAAGCTCAGAGGATCGTAGCTTAGGAGGAGAGGACAGTGGCCTGGTATATAGAGAGAGATAGAGAGCTTGATTACAATTCGCTGATGTTGATGATGATGTCATGGCTGTTCATTTTAACAGATTCGCTCCCCCTGCAGGTAAGTCAGAAAGATAAGTTGGTTTCTAGCATGTGTGGATCCACACAATTCGTTTTTGTGGTTTATCTAGTGAGCAGTGGACGCGTGATGAGAGATCTTTCCTTTGACAGACACTTGAGTACAGATTATTCTTACATTGCTCTGTAGTTAGAACTAAAACGGAGTGAAAAAACTGCATACATGTTCCAATCCGGATCTCTGAGTGGCTAGAGACGGTACTATTGTTTTCAAAACAACAGATGTATAGTATTTGGACAGGTGTAAGAAGACTCTCTGTACTGGAAAATGATACAGTCGGTCTTTTTTTCATTCTAATTGCTCGTCATGCTCGTGTAAACTATAATATACATGTATAAGTGTATTCCATTTGTTGAAAAAAAAAAATTATTGGAACCTTTTGGGGGGTAATCTACAATGGAAAACCATGGTAGAGTTCCTTTGACAGAATTGTGACTTAATGTGACTTGAATACGTGTGCCCTGCTTTTGGACATCTTGGCATGGTTCATTACAACAAAATAAAAACCTTTTTTATTCCATCTTCGAGAATCATACAAAAGTAAATACACGTATCTTTTGCACAGCAACAAACAAATTGTACTTCATTTGTAGAACTTGTCAAAGCCGGAAAATTTATAGGAGAGAGTGCAAAATACAGGAACTAATTGTGAAGCAACTATTTTGCTGTTGCTTTTTTCCCATGTTGCCCGTGGCAACAATTTCATTCATTAAACTTATCAATTTACAACTTGCAAATTGCAATCAAATTAAAATGTAAACACCATAAAGTCTGGCAGGTGTCAGTAATAATAATGAAGGGAAAAACTCATGACTTCCCCCAAAAAATCTATATTTTTAAGACACAAGCCTTATTTCTAGAAAGCTGTTCTTTACAATTAAAACTTCAAAGATTAGGTAGTTTCTTACTTTTATAACAAAAGCCCAGAGTAACTTAAAGGGAATATACAACATTTGCAAACATCAAAAAATAAAACTATCAAGTTTTTACGAAATACCTTACTTGGATGTTGGTAAATGACAGTCAAAAGCATCCTGTAAAATTATGGCTCCTGGTGTGAAGTCATTTTCAAGAAATTGGCATTTTTGTATACATTTCCAACAGTGGTCGGCCGATCACCGTTGGAAAAACCTAACTATTTTTCAACTTCTGCTTCAAATTTACCATTTTTTCAGTCCAAATTTTGTTTGCTATTGGTAACATGTTCATGAACGAGTGCAGGCCAGCTACACTGATTCCCTTACCTTACAATTTTCCGGCATCTATAAATTGATCCATTTTCTCCTTAGTGGAGTCGGGGAGCCAGACTACTTGAACATTTTCGTTTTTCTTGGTTTTTCCAGCATTTTCGAACACAAAACTTCAAACATGTCAGTGTAACAATATTTGATCTGTTATACGAACCCCTCAAGTAGTTCATTTCTTAAAATTACAGCAAAAGCCAATGATGTACATTCCCTTTAAGAGTTAAAATATCCACTGTCAGGTTGGTAACTTCCTTGAAAAAAAAAAACCAATGTGCTAAAAGTATACAAGAAGTCAAAATGCAGGAAACTGACTTATTAGTGACAAGACACCACACACTAAACAGCCACAAGCCAAAGGTGTCAGCCATGGGTGATTTGATGGGGGGCCACCCTCCACACATAAAAACCACAAGAAAACCTTGTGGGTTGGCCTCTTGTCCATATACCTGTAACCATGCAAGTCAAAGAATTATGAGCTGTAAACCACAGATTGACACACTTGCAATCCCCTTGATATGATCAGGATAGGAAAGGTTCTGTGTTAAAAGTCTTTTTCGTGCCTTTAATCATGGAGGCTTTTATGTGTATTTTATAAGCAAAATTGTTGATCTGTTCTGTTTATGTTCTTTAACATGAGTGGTCAAATAAGTGCATTGTAAATGCTAATAATATTTGGTGATCAGGCACTGGGAATATCGAGGTACATGTAAGTATCGTTTGTGTGACAAAAAAATACGATACTAAATCTGCAAATTTATGAACTGCAGAAGCTAATGAGTTAGAAAAATATAGGGAAAAATAATCAATAGGAATCACAAAAAATATGCCACTAACTCTGAAAATTTACAGTGTAAATGCTGATACTTTCTGGATTTGGAAAAAAAAATGGGAGCAATAATCACTGGGAATCCAATAATTTTTCAGCTGTTTCTTCATACTTCAGAATTTTTTTTTAAAAATATCAACAGAAACACTGTGTTTAAGCTAACAACAACCCAATAAAAAAGTGCATATAATGTATGGTCTGCTCAGAGGGAGACATTTATGAAATTCGCGCTATGCTATAAAGACTTCAATACATAACCCCCAAAAATTGTCTTCCCACACACAAAAACAAATCGTCTGTTTTCTTGTATGTGTCTCTTTAGCACACTTGTAGGCAGACCTTTTGCTAGGGGAGAATAATTTATACCTGGTAGTGTATACGCAAAGCCCATCTGCCTGGCGCCAGAGGGTTTGTGGACCCAGTGGCGAGTCTAATAAATTGTCCCTTCTGTGTACAAACACGACAAACCCGAACAGATTAACTCTGGCAAAATGCAATTAAATAAACGCTGTATTTTTTTTCTTCTGTGTGCTAATATTTGGGGTGGGGAAGGGGGAGGGGGAGGGCATTTGCATCAAGGTATTTGGTGCTGTCCAGAAAGGGGTGCCAAATACGTGTCACAAATTATCTGTGAAAATCAATTCATGTTTCTTCACTTTCAGAATGGATTTATTGGGATGCACTTGTTGACGTTTTATTAAGTTTCAAATTCTATAGGAAATTTCATGAAAAACAAACAATTGAACATATATGTATTTACAATTGTGTATATAATTACAATGTGTGAATTCACATTTTCACAAAACAAGCTGTGCAACTACAAAAATAAAATGAAAGTCACTTAATTTGAGCTAAAATCTGCAGTTTGTTATACAGTTAATGCCTTTTTTTTAAATTGAATATCTTGAAATCCTACTTGTTACCAGTGCCAGTACATGTCATTTATTGTATTGCCATGTTTCCTTGTTAAAATCAAATGTGACCATGATACATTGAGGTGTAAAATCTTTACTGTAATCTGACATCAGAACAAATTTTCCGCATTCACAAATTTGAAAAACATGTCAAATTCTGACTGAAGACACCAGTGATATTTTTGCATCTATCGGCCATTAGCAGATAAAAAAAAGTCTTCAAAATTCTCCAGTTTATCCCCATCTCTCAAAAACCAATCTTGTCAAATTTCTAAGACCACAAGAGCTGTGTTAAGAGGAATCCTTGAAGGACAGGAAGAACGCAAACCAAGACAGGTAGGGCACTAGAGTGGTGTCAGCCTGTCAGAGCATGTTTACGGCAGATCTCAATATCCAAACTGTTCACAGACTTTACGAAAGACTTAAAAAAAAAAAAAAATGAAATGGTCCATTAGTCTCGTTGCACCTCAACTTACCGAGAGGTCCCCATGATCATAAGTAACAATTTTATAGCACGGCAGATTGGCGCCAGACCCACCATGCGGGGCAGCGCTGATGGAGAGGGGAGACAGGGGATGTACCATAGGTTAGTCAATCTGTTGCCGTTATTATCGCCACAGACTCTCTCTCCTCGCATCTAGGCTAGTATGATGTTTCCTCCAGCAGTCGTTACCCTGAGCAGAAGTCTAGCAGGGGATATGGTGAGAGCTCCCCAAGCTAACATAAATAACAGACAATTACCGAATACCACACAGCTTTTTTTTTTCTTTTTGGACTTGAGAGCTAGGGTGGCGGAGGTGGCTTTTCCTTGTGGCTGGAATGGTAGAGGTGTAATACCGGGGCATTAGTCTGGCGCCTGGGTGTCTGTGGAACCTCCAGCGGTGCCCTGCCCCCTGGCAGTCACTGCTGGAACCCCGTCTGACTGGTTATCCCCACCTAATTGAGACTAATTAGGAAATGTGACAGCTACTCCTAACCACCATATCATGTGTTGGGAAAATATAGGCGAGGGATCTCACCTTGTGGTTGAAAGTCCTGTATCAATAATAATAGACTGGCCCCAGTCTCCTTTGGGCCATTTTCTTCATGCTGTGGAAGGCATGGAAATGCTTGTATCACATCAAAGTAAACACAGGTTGTCCCAGGACTTGGCACTTACATCTAATGCAACTAAAAGGCATAAAGAGACTTGCACAAATCTCCTTTTACCTATAGATGGAACGTGCACTAGCATGAGCCATCAAGTTTGCACACTGAATTTTTTTTTTTTAACTTACTTTTCCATCTACTAACAATCTTTGTTTTAATAACAAATGACTGTTGATGTTTTCTGCTTTGAGAATACTATTTAAGCTGTTACATTATTTTATGGTAAAGATCTGAGGAAAAACATTTTGATAGAATCAAAACTCGTGGGCACAAAACTAAAAGAATTCAAAATCAAAATACAGAACTGAAAGTATTTGACAAAGATTCTGGTAGGATTGAAACATTAGGTTCTCTAACTTTTTGGATTTGTATACTTCAAGTTCAATCCAGCAGTCTGTAGTACTTTTATTGATTTTCCAGTTAAAGAAGTCTCAGACATGTATTCCAGGAAAAACACACACAGAATCAGCTGAGGACTCAAAGCTCAAGCCACACTATAGCCAGGGTGAGATTCGAACCAGGGCCATTAAAAGAAAGCAGCTAGCATCACTACATCAGCTCTGGCTCCAGTCGCCCTGAAAGCCACCATCTGCCCAATACATACTAATACACCTCTCCATCTATAAACTTTTTTCCCTGTGAATGATTAGAAAAATAACTAGGGATTACATGCATGCCTTGAAAATAATTTGTAATTTGTACATTTTGCTAAATGCATCTCAAACGCAATTCAGAACAAAGTGCCACTGAGTTACCCGCCCAGGACTAAACAAAAAATCTCAACTATGTCCAGTAATCCACATTTGGGAACAAATGCCTGCCATTTCAAATTCTGAACTCAAATGTGTACGTGTTAAATAAATAATCATCTCGGGTCACTGACTGATTACCGGCGTATAAATCCATACTTTTTAAACATCATCTTGGGGCGGCGATGGGAAC